TCTCTCTCTCTCTCTCTCTCTCTCTCTCTCTCTCTCTCTCTCTCTCTGAGAGGAGCCTCGCCAGTAAAGCTGCGTCTCTGACATTCTGATCATTCCACTTGTTTTAACTCTTTGCTAGTGACCTCCTCCCTGCTTTCAAGCAAACAAACAACAGCGCTCACCACCTCCTGAGCGCCGGGTGAAATGCCGCCCCGCTGCATGGAGGGCTGGCTGGGATATTTATGCAGTTAGTCACAGGGGAACCTCACTGTGAAACAGAAATGAAATGTGACTCACGATTCAGCCGGATGATGTCAGACGTGACAAACTACCGGAAAATGTTTACATTTGGCTTCCAGGAGGGAGTGTGTGATTTGACTCATGTACAGTTGTTATAATGACTTTTCAGTGTCGCCATTACTGTAACAATTTTGTATTAAAATAATTTAGTTGGATATAGTTAAAGGCACATTTGATATCATTGTAATCTCATTAATGTCAAAGAATTAAATACAGCTGCAACTATTATATTATTTTAATTTAATCTACGTTTTTTGTTTTTGATTAAAAATATAAAATTTATAATAATATGAGACAAGAAAAAGAGACATGCTCACATTTTAGAGGATGAATATATGTTTTTTTTGTCATTTCTGCTTGAAAAATAACTGTGATTAGATGATTATTAAAACAGTTAATAGTCTTTAATTTTCTGTTGATCAACTAATCGCTGCAGCTCTTAAATAAACTTTAAACAACATTTAGTAACATGGTCGACCCTGTTTAATCACAGTTATTGAGACTGTAAATGTCACCTGCTGCTGCAGCTGCATGACTTTTATTGCAAAGATTCTGCAATATTTGTTTAATATTTTCGTGGCACAAAATCAACTATTAATCCCTTTGTGATAACAAGCTGCACACAGTTTAAATATTGCAGGTCGTGGCAGGCTGGTTGTTTACACTAGCCATGAATGCAGATGAATTATATCAAGTTCAGGCATCATCTTCTCTAAGGAACCCCTTCTTGGTTCTCGGATGATAGAAAACAGAGCAAAATAAATTTAAAAAAGCCTTTTAAAAGGAGGGCAGAGGTTCATCCTCGCTGTGCTTTTTTTTTTTTTTTTTTTTTTTTTTTCCACGAGTTCTGCCAAAGATGTTGAAGCCGTGCCTTAGCGGTTAAAGCTGCAGGGCCGTAAAGCTGCGGGGCCCCCAGTAAAACCTCTCATTTTACATCTTAATTCAGGTACTTGGGGTTAACTTGTCTCTCCCGTCTCTTTGCTTCCTCAGCTGATACGTCTTGGGAGTGATGCACTGGCTTCCCCTGGTTGCCATGGTGATTGCCTCGGCCCTGCCATTCCCCCACGACCCCGTGTCCACGATTGCTGCCGTGACGACGGAGCACCGCCATGACCCGGCCGCTCGCCTCGCAGCGCCCGCCGTGGACCACGACTTCCGCGGAAATGCCTCACAGACGGACTACAACGCGGCTGCCAACAGACAAAACTTCCAGAACCGCCGGGATTATGTGAAATCTTCCGCAGATGAAGAGACGCTTGGAGTGGAGAACCGAGGAACCGACCGGTCGAATAGCAACTCGGGCAGCGATGGCAGAAGCAGAGCCAGCGTGGATGTTCCCACGGAAGGAGGGACGCTCAGGGCCGAGGATATTAACCAGGATAGTTCTCTACCAAAGGACTTAAATGCTGACAGCAGCAGCAGGCGAGACTACTCCAGCTTTGTGGACAAGAAGGACAATCTTCAGGATTCTACAGCGGAAACCAAGATTGCAGACAGTCCTGCTGCTAGTCTGAAGGGTCAAAGAGGACCAGGTCCGACTGTCCCCTCGGAGAAGCCGAGGGATGCGCCTACAGTCGGGACAGGAAGCACGTGGACACCGGGGGCTGGAAGAGGTCTGACCGAGGACGCGGGGCTCGGCACGGGGCTGGACGAGATGTTCCTGGACGCACATCCGCGAGTCCTGTTCTCTCCGTCCCCGTCGCCTCCGGAGCACCCGCCTCTCCTGCTCATGCTGGAGACCGGCCTGCTGGAGGAGGACAGGGATGGAGAGGAGCAGGAGGACATGCACATCGAGGGTCACGGGGACCGGGCCATCGACAGGACTCTGAGCTGGGCGGACTCCCCGGGCGTCTCCGAGGTCGCCCAACCCGTTAAAAGGGACAAACGCTCACACTTGAACGACAGGAGGAGAGGGGAGAAGTCGGTGTGCGAGGCGGAGAGCGTCTGGGTCACCGACAAGAAGACGGCCATCGACTCCCACGGTCAGAAGGTCACCATCCTGCAGGAGATCCAGACCCAGACGGGACCACTCAAACAGTACTTCTACGAGACTCGCTGTCGCGAGGCCGAGCAGATCAGCAACGCCGGCCGGTCGAGGAGCGGCGCGCCGCCGAAATCTGTCGGGACGGGCGTTGCCGGGGCCGGCTGCTTGGGCGTGGACAAGAAACAGTGGGTGAGCGAGTGCAAAGCCAAGCAGTCGTACGTCCGGGCGCTCACCAAGGACGCCAACAACCGGACGGGATGGAGGTGGATCCGCATCGACTCATCCTGCGTCTGTGTGCTGCTGTCCAGAACCAATCAGGCGGTGGGGAGGGAGGTCTTAACGAGGAAGGGGAGAGGCTGAGAGGGAGAGAGAGAGAGAGAGAGAGGGGGGAGGGGAGGGGGGAGTAGAAAGTGACACAGACCAGAGCAGCTGCGACATCCTTCTGTGTGCACTTCCTTTAACATGATGGATTTGGGTATTTCTCCCCCTCTCTCTCTCCCCCTCCCCCTCTCTCCCTCTCATCCCTCCCTCCCTCCACCACAACTTCAAATGACTTTTGAAAAAAACAAGAAGACCTCAATACTAGATCTTAGGGAAAATTGTCATATATAGAGATTTTACTGTTTTTGTATGATTTATCTTTCATAATCTAAGTTATTTTTTGATTAGTATGTAAGCATGTGTATGTCCTTGATATTAATATATTCCTTTTAATATTAATTAATATATATATATGTGTGTGTATGTATATGTGTATATATGTATATGTATGTATATATATGTATGTATATATGTGTATGTATATGTATATATATATGTATATGTGTATGTATATATGTGTATGTATATATATATGTATATGTGTATATATGTATGTATATATGTATATGTATATATATATGTATGTATGTGTATGTATATATATGTATGTATGTGTATGTATATATGTATGTGTATATATATGTATGTATATATATGTATATGTATATATATGTATATGTATATATATGTATGTGTATGTATATATATGTATGTATGTATATGTATGTATGTGTGTGTATATGTATATATATGTATGTGTATATGTATATATATGTATATGTATATGAGACACCAGTATACCTTTATGTATGAAGCTATGTATATCTGTGTGTATTTATAGAAGAAGTCTTCATGGAGTGGTAGGTCTCTCCAGTGTCTGATGATAATTCCAGCCTCCGGGCCGCTTGGCTTGTGAGAGGAAGCAGTGCCACCTACTGAGGCTCCGTTTCACTGCTCCACACCGGTTCCCATATGGATCACCATGAATGTGACAATAACCCGAACCCTTGTGTGGAACTCGCTCAATGTGGGTCATGAGTGCGAGTAACAACCATGTGGTTTGTAAATGACATGACACCTAAACAAGGTAGTTTTACCATCTGTTTGTTCAGTTTACCCTGCCAACATGTGGTAATAAAGGATCTTTGTACTCAGCACTTTATCTTTCACATGACTTTGAAATCTCAAAGCACTCTGGGATTTATTTTGGAAAAGAAACGTTATCATAAGTCGTACATTTCAGGTGTTTTACTGTCGTAATCTGACCATTCCTCAAACTACAGCTTCATAAAGAAGTATTCAGATCTGCTATCTGTATAAAAGTTGCATCATTTAAAAAAATACTCCATTACAAGTAAAAGTCCTGCATATTTATACGTGCAAAATCTTACTCTGCCACGTAATTAACGGCTCCATCTATCAAATAAATGTAGTGGAGAATAAAGCACAATATGTACCCGGTGCATGTGGTGCGGTGGAATAAATAAAGAACAGTAGAAGTACATTTAACATGTAATCAACAGTACTCGAGTAAATGTACTTAGTTACACTCACCTCTGCACACAGGTGACATCCTGCAGAAGGGAAAGAATGAAACGAATCAACGTGGAAAAGAAAAACGGAGAAAAGTTTGTGATGATCAGCGGATCCACCTGGATCGCTTTATTGTTTCTTTTACATCACCGTTTTCATCATCGTTATTGTTTATTCTCCAGATGATATTTTCAATTGGTATTACTATCACTTTTAATCATGGAAATCTGTTAAATCGTTGCACAATTTGCATCTCAAAATGTACACACACAGTAGCGTATTTGAATGACCGTTTTCATATTTAAAACTAGTTCAAATGAAGCCGAGAAGGAACACAACGTGTACATACATTTATCCAATACATACCCTAAAGAAAAATAAATAGATATCGTAAAAAATAAGAAATACAACTGAAAAAAATACACACATTTTACAAATTGATCCCCAGGCTCCCGACCCCTGTAGGTCTATCGTACAGATATATATTGTTTAAAGACGCATATCTTCACCACCAAAAAAAATGTATTCAGGTCATTGTCGTTTGTTTGACATGCATCGTAAACACAGAGGCTAAAGGTTTTGTTTCCTGGGCTTCCTCTCTCACCCTCCCTCTCTCTGATCCCCCCCCACACAGAGAGCTCTTGGTGGTCTGTTATGGCTTGTGTGTGCAGTAAAATGACCGGCTTCTGTCCATCTGTTCACTTTAGTTTTTCTCTCTCCTCGCCTGTGAGTCGCTGTTTTGTCTCTCTGACAACTCTCCCTTTGTCAGGGTGACCCAAGACCCTGAGCTGATGAGACACCGTGGAGGAGTTTAGTTAAGTCTGACCTAAATATGTGTCACGTCCGAATATAAAGCACTCTGGTACCACTTTCTAATGAGACATACTTTACCAACTATTTTAATCCTGTTTCACTTTGTACGCATGTTATTTATAGGCCTGTTATAAGATACCGTATTATTACAAAGTACTTTTGGGTTGCAAGGTTGTGAAATGTCTTTTTAGTTACCTCTTTGTTCCATTTATTTGCAATTTAAACTCCAAACAGGATAGATTTTTAGAGTGGAACACCTCTTTAATAATGACTAAATCAGATGTAATGTCTCTTTATGAAGTCAGAAAACTTTTACACGACTTCCCTCATCCTTAGCTACTATAGTCTGCAGTTAATAAATGTTAATATAATATTGATAACTGGTTAATAATTACCTTTTTCCACATGTTTTTCATGTGTTTGAAAATGGGAATGGATCTTTCACAACTCGGCAACCCAAAACTAGCAGCTTTTTTACTGATATATAAGGTATTAATAGATGATTTATTAAATGGTGCTCAGTCGTTTTAGTATTGCGCTTCGGAGACTCCGATAAAAAAAGAAATTGGTAAAGATCGAAGCATCAGAGGGCGAGATATCCGAGACATTTTAGTCCCAAATTTGAGTCGAGCTTTAAAAAAAAGCTTTTCCCTTTTCCCATAATGCCACTTAGTTGTGTCTTTGTGAAAAGCTCCCCCAGCACCACAGTGGACATCATACAACTGTTTTTTACATGCTGAATAGTGCAGTGCCCGTTTGGAGCGCGTGGCCTTTCAGAGCGGGCTGATTACTTGACTCCGCCAATGTGCTGCAGCGAAGTGAAGAAGAGTTCTGTTGTAACGTTAGTATATTCAGCATGCAGAGCCCTGAAGCTCCGAGTTCGCTTGTTTACTCTAAATGTATTAGTATTGACCAAATTGCACCAAGTGTGCACAAAGCACTTCACAGGGTCTCCAGCAAAACACCCACGAAAAGTGAAGTAGACCGGAAGGGCGGTTCTGGAGAGATGCAGAGGACACAGACAGAGATTCCTCGCTGTCTAGTTAGATAAACGAGCAAAGAACGTCTTTTCAGAAAGTGGTACCAACACAAACTTGATGGATTTCCTGCCGTCATGAGCACAAAGCCTCTGTGGCCTCGCTCCACCCTTTGATCTCTATGACGGGGTCCCTTCAAAAGAGATCGGCTTTCAAGGTGCCAATAGACACAAAGCCTGAGGAGATCTCTGAGGCCCTCTGAAGTGGTCGGAGGTCTGAACTCGGACGTGTTTTACTACACCACTCCCACCAATTGGGGACACTAGGACACCCACTGACGGGACCATGGAAGCCAACAACAGAGCCATAATGGCCGACACTGGACACCACGGGCAGACAGGAGAACACCGGTGTTGTTTAACCGCCATTAACGGCCAATTCCCCCCAATGTTAACGTCCTTCCAGTCATTTCCTCTTGTTTATCAAATCCAAACTTTACTGTGAGGTTAACTTCTGCCCCCGGGCTTTCATCGAAAACACCTGTTGCTGAGCAGAAGTTATAAGGCGACTCGTTTAGTTGTTTTCCAAACTGTAAAGAGAATAAATGGCAGCAAGTAGCGGTTTCCTCTGAAGGTAGGAAAATGAGCCCTGATATTGCCAACTCTGCTGACTGTGTGCAGACTCCGACGGGAATGAAGAGAGGAGGGAGGGGGGACCGGCACAGAACCGAACCAACACCGGTGTTGTCCTTCATTAACCCCACACAGAGAGAGAGAGAGAGAGAGAGAGAGAGAGGAAGAGCAAAGACAGAAGGACAGGAAGAGAGAGAGAGAGAGAGAAAACAGCTGATCCCATTCAACCTTCCCGGTCCGGTCGGAAAATACATTCATACATTCTTCATGTCATTTTCCGCCTTCGTTCCTTTGCTTCTGTTATTGCAGAATGGTCAGACCAATAGATTTATTTTTAAAAATTTAAATGGTTATATTCATTGCTTCTTTCTCCGTGGATGAGCGAGCGGCTCCTCTAGTCCCAATCCAGTCAGCGCCCTGCGGAGAGAAACAGCGTTATGCACACGTCACTGCGTCCGCGGCCTTAATTCAACTCTAAATCCCCACCGACCAAACCCAGCACTTAAAAAGACCTCAACATCCCGGACTCAAACCAATCCCCACCCCAACAAACGAATACATAAAAACAAAGAAATGTGCTCGGCACATGTGAGGGTTGTGTCTCACCGCACAGATAAATAAACACTACGAGACGGTTTCATTAATTGGGTGTTCTCACCTCAGAGCCCTCAACAGGAGTACGTCCTCACTGAGGCGGATTCCCCCCGGGCACCAGAGCTGGCTGTGTTGGAGACCGGGGAAACAACAGACACAGACGGGGTCATTATCGTAACTGCGATGCTCTAAACATGCACTGACCTTCAGCAGGCATTCCTATTAAGAAGTGGAACGAGGGATAATCGTCTTCCTCTGCTTTGAAGCAGTCTGCTCCTTGTTATTGACAGTTCCTTTGCTGGAAAGACAAAAATTCCTCCGCCAAACTAATGGCACAGTAGCATGAAAACAACCAAGCGCTCTGTGCACATGAGTCTTATATAACATGGCTGAAAACAAATGTTTCTGTTCAGGGCTATTATTAGTATTAGGGACAGACACAAAAATGAGAGGAGGAAAAATATTTTTTTTTTGAGTTATTCTCAAAAGTTCAGAGTTTATTCTCAACATTTTGATTTTATTCTGAAAATTTAAATGTTATTCTCAATTTTTTGACTTTATTCTTGACATTTCAACTTTATTCTCGCACAAAAACAGAACAAGAAAACATCTTCCTGTTGTAATTGTGTCTGCTATGCCTGTTGTCCCTCATGCTCTTCCACTCATTTCAAATGAAGATGTTATGTGCAGAATACCTGATCAGCAGTGTAACCTCCTGCCCTGATTCCTGCCATGCTCTTCATGTGAGTAATGCCATATAGAGTAACAGGTCTCGACATATCGTCTAAATTGAGACGCGCCTCGAGGGCTCAGAGGAGCCGAACATATGTGAGTACGAGAGCGGGGGTGTCAGAGGTCACGGGTCGTACTCACCATCGCTCTGAACCTTTCTCAGGGTAACGGAGGGCGTGGAGATGGCTGAGGCACGGAAGTTGGCAGGCAGGGTCTCGGCGGAGTCGGAGGTCACGCCCCTGAGGTCTTTCTCCCTAAACATCTTCCTCCAGGAGGGCGAGCGGGTGAACGTCTTCGCTCCGTCCTGCTACAGAGACAGAGTGTGTGAACAGAAAGACTTCGCTTTCACTTTGCCTTTTTCTCCATATTTCTTGGCGCTTGATTTAGCGTGCTGACCTCGTCGGGTCGTCTCTCGGTTCCCATCAAGATGAGGGAGTTGTACTCTTGCTCCAGGAGCTGTCTGGCCTGCAGGAGAGAGTTGATGTAGAGCTTTGACATTCATTGGGACTCTGCAGGTAACACATTTTCATTACGTTTGAGTATCACGCCTGCTTTAAACCAGCACGGTTGGGAATCTAAAGGGTCAGATGAGACTTTAAGTGGATGTTTTGAGCCCTTTTATTATAAATAGGAAATGATGGAGCGAGAGATGCAACAAAGGCCCCCGGGCTGTTCCCTTTCAAGGTTTTGGACACATATCATACAGATAAGTATGTATTCTTTAAGACAAAAAAACACCGCTTATTATCTTCAATATCTTTAAAGGCCTGACAGAAGACAATATTTCTTGCTGAAGTAAATAAAGGTTCCAATCATGCCTGTAAAAATGCCTTGATGAAAGGTGCTTTTTAAACTCACATGAATGAAATGATGGGGGTTTAAATTGACAAAGATATTGATTAGTGAAAACCTAAAAGTCCTCCTCCACTTGTTGGCCCTTCACTGTGCAGAGCGATGCATGTGCAGAAGTATGTTTTACTTTACATCTCACACATGAACGTATGAGCGCGCTTTGATGACATCACAACTCGCTTTGAGGCCAATCGTGATCCGATGTGAAACTTGGACTTACACACGTGTGACGAGGTAACTTGAAGCCTCCAGGTCCCATCTTGTGTTCATTTGAAAAGAAATATAGCTGCAAATGATAGATTCTGGATTTTTCAACAAGTGCGAAGAATTAGATGTAATGTATTTAATTAGTGGTAAGGCTGGCGCCCCGATAGCTTAACGGTCGGGGTGCATACCAGCACAAAGTTGATGATTTGATTCCTGCTTGGCACCTCTCTCTGTGTTTCCTGTCCACTCTCAAATATATTAAAAGGGGGAATGCCAAAAAATACTAATGTAAAAAACATGCTTGGAGGCGGTGGGTCTTTACGTCCCCTTAAAACCGCTCTTCTCTCCGTGCTGCAGCTCTAGTTCCTCCTCATACAGTTACCTGTGTGTTCGGATTGGGTATCTGCAGCAGCAGCGCCAGGTCAGTGTAGTCAAAGGTGTCGTCCAACGCCAGCAGAGCCCCGTGGACGCCGCTCTCGCGCAGGTTGTCGCCGTACTCCTTCAGGCCGATGGTCTGCACCCAGCACATCACGCGCTCATTGGACCACACCATCACATCTGAGAGGGGGAGAGGAGGAAGGTGAAGGGAGGGAGCGGAGGCATTCGTCTGCAAGCTGTCCGCTCAATGTTTTTAAAAGCCAGATCAGGTTTCTTAATATGCTGCTCACTTCCTGAACTTCCAGCTGGATGACACATGTCCTCTGAGGGGGTTAAATTAGCTGTTCAGTGCTGATGAGTGATAAAGAGAAATAGTTGAAATGTTCCTGCTTTACTGATTTATTCTCTGACGGGTCAAGCTTATCATCAGACGAACCCAAACCTCTCGCACATTTCCTCACTTGGGGAATTCTTCTGTGAGGAAATCAGCCAAGATGAACCGACTAGAAAATGTACAACATGTGTATCCCAGGGCGCAGCGGTGGGAGAGCGAGAGGTTTTGGGGTTTGTTTAATGACCGAGCCTGTTGACATTTATGTAATCGTAATCCAGCTCTAGAAGGCTGCGGTTTATAAGGGGAGCAATAACCGAGAGGTGGTCCAAACATCTTCCAGAAACGTGGACCACTGCGCAAATCAAAGGAAATGTTTGTTTTGTTTGTCGTTATTAAGTTTGTGTGTTTTTCGGTTTGCTTTATTTCATATGTTAAAGATGTAGTAAGAAAGGGAATTATTTTTAATGGTTTATTGACTTTGTGATGTATAATTACTTATTTTATCTCTCTTTTCTCTGTTGTTAAAAGTTTAAAAAAGTAAAGTAAATGACACTGCAGCTGCCACTATTAATAACGTCATGAAGCAGGAGACTTAAGCTCACTGACACTGTTCTCTCTACTGACGTTAAGGTGGATGAATTGATTGTCGGTATTCTACTTTATGCAGCTGATGTGATCTTACTCACCCAGAGGTGCAGTTACTTTGAATCTCGGTTCAACAGCGCTGTCATATACTGACCAATAAATATATTAGGGTTTTATTTTGGAAGAGTATCTGAGTTTTAAGGAGTTCATTCAGCAGGTAGAGCGCTGGGATCAGTGCCTACACATAACTGTATAAGTCTTGTTTCTTAACATGCTTCTGGTGTTTTAAAATCTGGGGCTATTTTATGAGATGGGAACCTCCTACTGTCAAATATAAAAGTGAGTTGATTGGAACAGAGTTGTGAATATGCCTGAACACAAAGATCTTTAACTGGGACATTTTGCATCGACACCCCTGGACGAGTGAGCTCCTGATTGATTTGTTTTTACAGTGTAATATTCATGAAGTGATTCATAAGGAAGGACGGCGTGTTGATATTTGGCATGTGAAGCAGAACCTAACGTGCACAGTTACAGTCAGGTTTACTAGCATTAGCTCTAAAAACATGAGGTTTGAAGGTCTCTTATTATAATATTGTATAAAGTGTTCTCTAGTTATTTCCTCGTATTTATGTCTCATGTTTTCTTGTAAATGGCATTTACAGTAGAAGACAAAGGAGGAAATTGTAAACGGAAACTGACAATAAACGCTTTGACTTTAGCTAATAAAAATAACAGACAAAGAAATAAATGAAGCGACAGAGCAAAATACACTAATAATTGTAATAATAATAAATGAAAAAAAGTGTTGTTAATAGAAATAATTGTGTAAATTGTGTTTATAAAGTAATCACTAAGGTATGCTTTGAAAGAGACGGTAGCACAGCATGAATGGAGAGACAATGGGGGAGACAAAAAGAGCTCACCTTTGTTGTGGTGGACGCTCTCCTCTCTCCTCCTCTCCAGCTCCTTGCGATCGTAGTTGAGACGCTTCAGGCACATGATGCCATAGTGCAAACTGACCCTGGGAGAAAGAGCCAGAGGGTAGAAGCAGGTTAACCGAGGGCGTGTTTCCACTCTCACCTGCACTCGGGAAGCATGAACACTTAACTTTAAAGAGAGAGCCTGGAGACACACCCCTGAACAGAGAGGAACAACGCATCTTTTAACACCTTCATATTTCACCACACGCACAACAGACTCAACAGACAAACAATGAGACTGAAAAGTTGACGAAATTGTGCAAGATATGGCGAGAGCGGGCACGCAGAAGCCGAGCTCTACCTGTGGAAGCTGTCCACCATTTTGAGCTGTCCTCTCAGCTCCTTCTTGGTCAGGTGGTCCAACATGCGGGCGTCCACCAGGGACTCCATGAAGTAGCTGCGGTACAGTGGCAGACCCAGGCTGGGCAGCCAGTCGTTGCCCACCCACTCATGATTCATGTCGCCGTAGGCCAGTATCTGGAGGGGGACAACCACAGGCCATCAACGCTGATTCACGCTCGGCTTCATGTCTGACGGTAGTGCAGGTCAGCAGCTCGTGAGTCACTGCGGCTTAGACTCACGAGAGATACAACGACTGACAAACATCTTGTTGTGTTAAAGAGTGAATAGGGTAAAAATTTACGTTTTGTTAAATTACAGACATTTTGAAGACGCTACAAGGGAAATAATTCTTAGATATCAGCATGAAACTACCTCAGTTGATACTCATATTAAGACAACTATTTTTTGTATTACATGTATTCTGAAATGTTATGTTTGAATATGCAAATTAAGCATTCTCTTATGGTCACTTTTGGTGAATTTAGGAGAAATCTACAAAGGCAAATAGACAAAGTAGTAAAATAAACACTTTTATGTGTATTTTGAATTTCCACTAGTCTGAACGGAGACATTATATGGGAGCAACATTGACCAGTGCATGAAAAAACAACCAATGTTTTTGCCTTAATTCAGACTTTTCAGTTGATCCTCACCTGATCCCAGCTGAACTCTTTGAGCTCCTGCAGCGATGAGAGAAGAGACAGAGAGAGAGAGAGAGAGAGAGCCAGAGAGAGTGATGTGGAGGTGGCGAGGGGAGAGGGGACAAGAGGTCAAGAACGGGGAGGACGGATGGAGAGATGATGGAGGTGAAGCAGAGGAGGAGGAGGGAGCAGCAGCAGCAGCAGGAAATGAGGACAAAAGGAAGGAATAGTGTGTTAGTGAACGGGTAATTAGTTGGAAGCAGTTCACACTGAAACAGCAACCAGAGGGAGAGAAGAAGATGCTCAACACTCCGTCCTGGGCCACAAAGACAGAGATAATAAAGAGGCAGAAAATTCAAAAAGAGAAAAAGAAGAGAGAGAGAGAGAGAGAGAGAGAGACAGTGAGAGGAAGAGGAGGGAGGGGAGAGACTCGTCAACATGATTCAGACCAGACGAGCCGCTTAAAATAATTTTAAAAATAATAATGAGACATAAAAATAGTTTTTTATCAAACAGAGACGGGGCAGTGGGGGGGGGGCACTAACCGGAGGCTTGGTGGCCGCGTTCAGGGACTCCATCTCTGCGTGGGTCATCCACACGTTACTGGTCGACTGTGAACAAGAGAAAAGTGACATTTTTGCACCATTTCAACTCGTTAATATGCTGTTAATAAATAAATAAGAAGCCAAACTCCCAAGTCGACAGTCTTTGGTTATTTGTGACTTTATCTTCTTTGGAACAAGAGACATTAAACGCCGCAGCACAAACGCATGTGCGTGCAACACTTTTACGACATTTTTCAACATCTGGTTTGTTTTTGTCGCTGTGTGAGAAGGCAACATTTGGATAAAAAGTTGCTTTTGTTGCCAAGTTTTGTTACAAGGCGAAATAGGTGGAACTTTATCAGTGCAGTTTACTGTCACTCTCCTTTGGAAAATACACTCGTATTTTGTATTATGACATTTATCACATGCAGGATTCGTTTCATGTCCTATATTCCTCCTAATAGAATCTGCTTTTCATTTGACATCATTCATATACTCTCAATTATATTTAATTGTTAGTATTTCTGTATGTTGTTATTAGTTTCTGCTGCAAATCTGCCAACAGGGATCATTAAGATTTAATCTCAAAACTACAAACACCTGTTTTAACATGTCCCCCATACTGCTAACATCAAAGTGTATTATCGTTAAAGTCTCTGCATCTGCACGGAGAACACTGTGGGATTTGTTTATGACATTAAAGTCTGTATTCTCACAGAGCGGGTGCTGGCCGGGGCAGAGGGGCTGGTGAGGGACACCATCTCCTGGATGGCCAGCCGCAGTTTGAGGCGGTGAAGCGGGTTACTGATGCCGATCTCCCTCTGGATCTCCGTGTCCGACAGGTTGGCCATGATGGCGCCGCTCTTCACGTTGGCGCGACAGGCGGCGACGTACCAGGCCGGCATTCCCACCCACAGCTGGAAGGAGGAAGACGACAGATTAAATAAAAGGAGGAAATATGAGAGAAAACGATGTTGTCTTATGGATCCAAATGGATCCTTTTACAGTTTGTAATGAATGATGACGGACGCAAGTGTGCAGAAGTCAAGCTGTGTAAAGGCATTAACCACCAAAGATGGCGAATGCAACCTAAACAAAGTGACTTTCCAGATCCGTGTGTTATTAGTGAGTGTATTTGGTGGAGAAACCTGGCATTTAATGTTACACCAGAGAGACATTACGAGCTACAGGTCATTAAATCAGACATTTTGATGCTGGTAACAGTCTTAACTCAATGTTTAAAGGTTGATATCTCGTCTCGATGGTTGAGACAAAACGCCACTTCTGTTGCAAACTGTAAAAGGATGTCTTACGTTCTTTAATTACTGTCTCTTTAGGTTTCTGTGATGGCACAGTACCTCCAACCAGGATACAACAGTGGGTCCGTCCCAGGATGCAAAGGGAAGTCCTTGGCGACATGCTTCCTCCAGTAGCTCATGCCTGGTAAGAGGAAGAGGAAGAGTTACATATTTGGTGCCGTTCAAGTGAGAGATCAGAAATATCGATCTGACATCCAAGTCAAAGGATTATTCACAAACTTCTTTTTGCTGCGGCGGTCTTTATCTGCCGGACCCAGAGTCCCAGTCTTGTTCATCCCCAACGGGTCTCCAGAGGGCATGTCTTCAGAGGGTGTAGACGCTGGAGGAGACGCAGTGAGGTCAAATGTCACACGAATGAAAGATAATACAGAGATGAATACAGTGTGGGTCACTAGTGTACACTCAGTGTTATCCTCCATCTGGTTACCAAGAGAAGCAGATCCGTCCCGCCCGGGTTGGCCCATCCGTCCTTTCTCCTTCTTCCCAAAAAGCCGCCCGATGGAGGACTTGATGCTTTTCTTCTTACTGGACTTGTGGAGAGAATCCTGGCTGCTGTTGGAGCTGCTGCCGTCTGCCGAGAGACTGGGAGGGACAAGAAGGAAATCACTAAGGGGCGAACGAGGATGAAACCGTTTTGTGTTGGATGTATTTAACGTGCGGCCGCTTTACCTGCGAAACTCCCGTGGGTCGTCGAGCATCGCCCCTGGATGGGTGAGGGTCATCCTCTCCAACCGCAGTGCACGGGGAGTGGAAGGAGGCGTGGAGTCAAGAAGGGCGAGGGAGCGGTCATCATCTTTGCTGTTCTGCAGAACGAAGAGTAAAGATATTTCTCAAAGTGTGAAGCTCGAACAATTCAGGAGGCTTTTTCAATCAGAGCGGCCGAATCATTGAGCACCTGGACTGCTTGGAATGAAACTTTATTACTGTAAAGAAGACCGACTCTTTCAGACAAATCCTGGCTACAAACAAAACAAATCTCATTCCACCTAATAAAATGAGATCTGAAGACAAAAGACACATTATTTTACCAAAACAAACGTGGACGCCAACCAGCAGCAGGAACATAACGAGTGTTAACGAGCTGCACACCTATTGATTATGAAATGTTTTGGTAATTAGTTTCCCGCAGAGTAGCAAATTGATTAATCACGTCAATGTTAGCATCATTTATTAACGATTGTCTCACTGTTTTGGTCACTACTTTACCATCACATTGTTGGTTAGTATTATCACAGGTTTCGTCTTCCTGCTTCCTAACTTGAACCACTCTGTTCTGAACTCCCACCTCGACATTATCACTTCCACCATCACCGCTGTCTGCATGGTTGGTTTTTCTTTTGTTGCACCATTGTTTGTAATCCATCCGCCCGTTTCCAAAATGCTGGAACCAGCGTGTCTGGCACCAACCGTCATACCATCCTCCAAGTTTCCTGAATCAGTCTTGCCCAATCGAACAAGCTGCTGTTAAAGAACAGCTGAACTCCTCTGACCCCGTCTGCGTGATTTACTTGTGCTTTCTTCACATGACTCACTGTCTGGAGGAGCTGTTTGCATAAACAGGGAGGTGGAACACGGAGGCGAGATATCGCAAAAGGTTAACGTGGGACGGGAATAGAAGCGGTACCTGTCTGTCCGTCTCGCGGGCCGGGGAGTGAGACAGGCGAGGGGTGGAGTGTCCAGAGCTGGGGGGAGAGGGGGAGGCCAGGGTGGAGGACGTGATGGACGAGGGGATGAAGCACCGCCCTGTGCTGTCTCTCCCCAGGGAGGACGGAGGGTCCAAAGCCACGCTGACCCGGTTCTCGATCTCTTCGGCTCGCAACTCCGTGTTCTCCTTCTCCTCCTGGATCAGTCTGGGTTTGAAAGTGGAGGGTGAGAAAACAAGGACTGAAACATTTGGACGATATGATAATAACGTACTGAACAGATCAGAATAGACTTAAAGAAAGAGTTTGAGATTTTGGAAAATAAGCGTAATCTTTTTCTTCAGATTCTTCATTTTTGTGCAATAAATAAGAAGCTACAGCGAGCAGCCAGTTAGCTTAGCTTAGCATAAAGACTGGAAACAGGGGGAAACAGCTAGCCTGGCCACTATGCGACCTAAACAGACAAAGAAGACCATCAGCAAGAAGATTGGCTACTTCTTTATATATAATTTGCGGTGTATTATGCAGAGAGGTGCGTCCTTACTTGATCTCCTTGTTGATGGCCTCCAGCTGTTCCTGCAGCATGATGGCCAGAGTCTGCACGTCCGTCTGTCCATTGGGGGACATCAGCTCGGAGCCAAACCGAGGGTCCCCGTCGTCCTCGTCGTCGGAGCAGCCCACATCCAAGCCCGGCTCGAACCCGGTCCCCAGCAGAGCCCCGCTATCCCACTCTGGGTACTGTACACAGAGAGTAGTACTGTGGTTCTTCCATGAAAAAACAAAATTTCACGTTATGTTAATTCTTTTATTTCTTTTTTTCCATAGAGGATCAGGATGAAAGTAATATGAACTTGCAATTAGTCAGCTCCTTTTTTCAAGTGGAAAGAACAACAACGCTGATATTATTGCAAAAAAGATTGAGGGGAAAAATGGGAGTTTACGATACAGAGGGGACACATTTCCTTCCTGATGTTAAGGTATTAGATATATTTCCATATTTTACCAATGTTTGTTGTTTAACAGAAAAGTAACTGGTGCAAAAAGGGGGGTTGTAGAGACGTTACAGCAGATTCTCACCTTGGTCGAGTCCTCTCTGGCGGAGCTCCAACGGGCCCGGTGACTTCGCCTGACCACGCCCCCGGCGGAGGCGTTACCGAAGGGATCCAGGTGAGTGGTCGAGCCGGTTGGGAGCGAGCCACTCCCGTGGGAATACCTCAGCTCCAGAGCGCTACCCGGCAGAGATCGACTGGAGAGACGGAGGCAAGAAGATCATACAAGATGAGATGGAAAGGTGTAAAGTACAACACAGAAAAAAAACAACACAGCTGGCTAAACCAAAACTAAAATATGTACAGAAGAAATATTTCAAAAAAGGAAATGTCAAAAACATATCTGAAATTTGAAAAATATTGTGATTTAACCTCATATACTGTGTCCAAGTGCTTCATACTATATATACTATATATACATTAACAGGTTTACAGAAAGCTGTAAGTGTCAGGACGTGCAGATGAGAAAGTGCTAATTGGATCATGTATGTGTGTTTGGGCACCGAGTCAACACGTGTATATGGAGGCCACATATCAACACTATCTTAGCTCGAGAGTGCTGACAGTGTTAAACGCCTCCAACGTGGGGTGATTGATCTACAATGTCTGGCGAGATAAGAGACACAACACTGGGCGTCTTTACAGTCAGACGCCTCTGGAGACTCAGAATAGTGTTTAGAGCTCCGTCTCTCTCGGGGTCGGAAATGGCAACAAACCTGGAATAAGAGCCCCCGGGCCTCGCTCTCAGCTGATCTAACTCCAGCTGAATACGCTCCAGCTCCGCGATCAGCTGGTCCTGAGGGGGCAAAAGAAACACAGTCGGTCGAAAAAAACAAAGTTACACATGTCGACCAGGTTTAACTGAGAGCGAAGCTTAGAGGCACCTTGTTTGCCAAGAGATCGTCCTGGAGTTTCTTCATGTTGGATAGTTCCTCGGACAGGGCGTTCTGGAGGAAGAATGAGAAGCTTTATTACGGGGAAATAAAAACAGTATGTTCTTAATGAGAAACTGGTCTTGAACTGGCTGCACAGGAGAGAGGGGATTCTTTAATTCCTATTTTCAACCAGATTTTATGTTCCTGTGCATGTGAAAAAAGACACTAATCTCTGAATATTATTATTAATAATTATTCCAGTGAAAAAAACTGAAAAACAGATGGGAAATGCTGATAATGCACTGTAGTAAGTAGGTTAAAAAGATAGAAGGCATTGAAGAGCTTGTGCTCCAAATGCTGTTTTCAAAATTCTAATTTCACCTCTCATCATTGAGATGCTTTAGTGAAGTAAAAGTAGCAGCACGACACTGTAAGAATACTCAGTGCAGCCACAGCAGTACAGTGCTTTGCTCCCGTGCGGGTACTCTTTTCTGTTTCTTCAAACTCCATCTACTGTAGTAAAACAGTGAATATGGAGGAAGTACCTCATACAACCACACTTCAAAACATCCAAACTATTACTGTAAGAGTAAAGTTGAGTTACTTTCCACCACTGCTCTGGATGAAGGACTGTTTTACAGCAGCTTACTTCTCCTAAAAATGCTTAGGATGGTTTATATGCAGAGGTAGATTATCATGTATGTACCCATATGACCATGAAATAAAGTTTTAACTGGTCACTTCCTGGAGGGCAGAGGGGTGCGTGAACAAACCTGACACCAGGAGTTCATTTGGGGAAAAGGGGGACACATCTTTAGGGGTCTTGATTTGGGGGACTGAGACATTTGCTTTAGTCTGAGCGGGTCACCTTTTCTTCCAGAGCGGCCATCCTCTCCTTCAGATGCAGCTGCAGCCTCTCGTTGGACTCGGACAGTAGCTTGTCCACCGTGTCGGAGAGACGCTTGTTGTGTTCGTCGTTCATCCTCTCCCTCTGCCTCGCCTGAGGGCGGGGAGAGAATGAGACGGGTGAGAGCGAAAGAGAAGAAAGGGTGCGGGGATTTAATAACAAGCATTTTGCTTGACTGAGAGCGACAGACAAAGATTTCTATCTGAATGTACACGACCAAATAGAGGGTTTAGAAAATTAGCGCGCTGACAAAAGGAACGGCACGGAAGAGGGGGAGGGATGAGAACGGAGGGAGAGAAAAGAGAAAGAGAGATGGAGAAGCGAGCGTGACTCACCCTCTGTAGCTCCTGGTTCTTCTCCTCCAGTTGCGCCTCCATCTGTCGCAGTCGCTCCTCAAAGTTACCATGACGCTCCTCCGCCTGGATGATTGGAAAGGGGGGGGGGAGGGAAGGAAGCGGGGGGTTAGAGCCTGAAATAACACAAATTAACACAAAAGGAAACAGCTTGTTGACCGAGTCTACCAATTAGTTACATGCCTGTACAGATCACAGCGGAGCGGGAAACCTTTAGTTTGCTTGTGTCTCACAGGGCATTCGTCTCCTCCTGCCAAGGAAGCCGTCTCCTGCCCCAACACGCAAAGGAGTAAGTGTAGCCAATTTGAGAGGTTTGGCTACCTGGAGGAGAGCGAGTCTTTTTTTTTTTTTGGCAAGAGGGAACATTGTGTTTACGGGAATGCTGGAGGTTAACACACAAGCAATCAAACGAATCGCGTATATTCAGTTCCTGGCGTGTCGAGGCGCACCGAGGATCAAATAGCTGAGCCGACTCTGCGCCCTGAGCTGGCTTTCATCTCCAGATCGTTTGCTTGTGAATTACTGGCACCGCTCGATGAAAATATTTGCTATTCATCCTGTCATTTGACATCTCATGTTCTGCTTCACTCATGCATGAACACACACACAGATATATATATATATATATATATATATGTAGTATGTGTATGTACTAGCCTGCATGTCCACACACGCTCACACACAAGGACTATTTTTATCTCATTGTATATAACTGTTAGATAATAGGGCACACACACACACAGACACACACACGTACACACGCACACATGCACACACCTTGTTGAGTGCTGCCACTCTCTGGGCGAGCTGGGCCTCGATCTCTGGCAGCGTCTCGGCCCTCTGCAGAGTCTGCTGCAGCTTCTGTTTGGCGTCATCCAGACGCTCCTGGAGCTGCCGGTTCTTCTCCTCGCTCTGCAAGAACACAGGATGAGAGAAGGACCGGGGGGAAACTCAGGTCGCGAGATTGCCGGGGGCAGCAGATGTCATTAAAGGCACCGGGGGAAAGAAGAAAAAAAGACATTGATGCCTCGCTCTAAGTGCCAATGTGAAACGTGGCCAAGCTGCCAATCAACAGCAGAGACATGGACACACACGGGGATGAGAGAGACTTTCCCCCCACCTGTCTGTACAGCGAGTCTTTGCTGGCCAACTCGTTCTCCAGTTTGTCTTTTGTGTCGTGGAGAGACGTCGCCTCCCTCTGGGCACTCAGGTACCTGCAAACCAGAACAAAGCAGGCAGACAGACGGAGCAGCAGTGAGTGCCGGAGCAGGTTTTTTTTAAATTTCTATTTTAGAGGAAGGCAATGAAGAGTTCATGGAGAGGAAAACACAAACCTGCGCTCTAACGTGGTGATTCTCTCTTCCATGTCCTCCCTTTGACAGAGAGCCTGGGTGAATTAAAGTGTGTGTGTGTAGGGGGGGGGGATAACATATGTAAAAGCAAAGAAGAGCAGACAGAGAAAGTGAGATAGGGAGAGAAGTCAGGTTTACAAGTGTTGATCAAAGGGAATTCACTGGGCTTCAGCAGCTATTAGTGGAAGAATGATAAGTCAAAGAGAGACAGAGGGGGGAGACGGGGGGGGGAGGATAAAAGAGCAGCGGGAGAGGAGAAGCAGTTCGATGTGGAGAAAAATGTTTGCCGAAGTCAACCGACTCGACCGCCTCTCGTCCGGAAAAACGCCCTCACACCTTTCAAATCGGCAAACCGGCACACCGGCTGATTTGATGGCACTGTCGCCATGGATACAGGGGCTCTGTTGCGTTCAGTAACAGCCGCCGCTGCCAAGGAGGCAAATGGCTTCGTTGCCATAGCGAACGGTTACATATTTCCTTTGGGTTTGAGTGAAAGAGGATCTTTGTGCCACTGAGAAACAGACCAGAGTCTCACCTCCTTCACGTCCCGCTGTAGCTTCTGGTTGGCCTCCTCCGACCGGGCCAGCTCCCTCCGGGCGGACGTCAGCTGCTCCTCGATCTCCCCGACCTGGAGTGTGTGTGTGTGTGTGTGTGTGTGGGGGGGGGGGGACACAGGGCTGAGCGTCTGATATCTATGTTTGGCTTTTGGTGAAAGCATTAGACGGCGAGAGTGCGTCCGATTGGAGTACCTGTCTGCACATGAGGGCCAGTCTCTCTTTCAGTTGACCCAGCTCTGACCTCTGTCGCTCGATCTCGCCCTCTCGCTGCCTGTCGACGTCGGCCTCATCCAAGATGGACGAAGGGCCGTTGGGAAGCCGCTGAGCGAAGGGAAACGATTTGAGTACAGTGATCATGATAGAGTTGATCAAGTTCAACCAGGGTTACTCATCAGCTGGGTTTAAAAATAAACGTTTTAGTATTTTGTTTTGGAAGAAATACCTCAACTCAAACATCTAAATTATTGAGGATAGTGGCTCTTCACATTTAGTGCTCATCAGGTACCTTCATGAAAAAATATGAACCAAATCGGAGGGACGGTGAACTTCTCAGCGACCAGTAAAAAATAAAGTAATAAGTAACAAAAACCTACTCTGATTACTGGAAAATTAAAGTCATTACAACTCTTACAAAAATCCAAGATGGCGCCTAACTTCCTCCTCTCTGAGTGAGCTGAGTGCCGCTGGCTGGAAGCCATATTGCAACAATACTGATCAAAGATTAAACTGGAGGCAGCAGCTTCTGGCTCCCGATCAGCTGGTGATTGAGAAAATAAGTGATGCAGGATTTTAATGTACTGAGATAAATGGAAATAAACCCTCGGTGGACGGACTGAATCTCAACTCTATTTAAATAGAAAGCCATGAAATGATGGCTGCCCACATCGTGAATCCTAACAACGTGTCTCTAGCGCCACAAGCAGGTCCAAGAATGTCGACATCTACTAAACAGCTTGGCACAAACTCTATTCCAGACATTCGTGGTTCCCAGAGGATGAACCTGAAGGACGTTAGAGATCTTACACCACCAAGACATTTGTAGTTTTGATTAAAATGTCAACTCAGCAACCGGAATGATTGACATGAAATTTGTTTCAGACATTCACGCCTCCCTCTGGATGAACTGTAATCACTTTGGTAGTTCTTCTCTTCTCCATTGCCATCATCAGATTTGATTGTGACTGTAGACTCTCAGTCTTGTTACGTTACACCGGTCTGACACTGACCCTTGTCTCTGGTTGAGAAGTTCACCTTTCCACTGGTCAGTTTGTTCATAAGGTTTCTTCTGTCACTCTGGACTCATGGATGTCAAAGCAGAAATAGATCTGTAGCGTCCTCATCTCTACAGGAGGACTGTGATCTTTCTGAGATTGTATAAGAAAAGCATCCCGTTACCTCTTTGCCGTTTTCTAGTCCTTGCTGCCGTCGCTTGATTTGTTCCCGTAAAGACACAACCTGAAACACGGAGGGGAACCGTCAGGAGAGACTCCATCACCTCACTCACCAAAGAGAAGCACAGAAAGAAGGTGGACTCACCTCCTGAGAGGAGGACTGCAGCTCTTCCTCCAGGGACGCCACCCGCTCCAGCGCCACCCGTAGTCTCTCCCTCACCTTCTCGTCCAGAGCTTTGTGGTGCTCGAACAGGGACTTGAGCGCCTTCAGGACCTCCACCTCGCTGGAGACCCCGGCCGGGGACTGGGACTGCCTCTTCACCACGGTCATCCTCAGGCTGCGCTCGTGGCGGGACACCAGACACTCCAGATGTTCGAGCAGCAGCTGTTAGACACATGTGGTTCACATACAGTTAAAACCTCTTATCGGTTATAAACAGTCGCAGATGATTAAAGTTCACGTTTCACTGTGAATTATTTTCAGAGCAAATAAAAAAATGCCAAAGGAACCAGAACTTTAATGAAGAAGATAATACTGACCCGTGTGTTGTTCCTCTCGGCCTTCAGCTCTGCTATCTCCTCCTCTCTCTCCAGCAGCTGTTCCCGGCAGAGGTTCAGCTCTTTGGTCAGCACTGCAAACTCCTGCAGGGTCACAAGAGGGAGCCGTTATTGACTCCATGCTTCTGCTGCTGCATGAGGTCATAATCTCTCTCACACACATACACACACACACACACACACACACACTTTATTTATTAAGCGCTGCACTTTCCCACTTTCCCCAAAACCGGCCCCGGCTGCTTCATCTTGGATTGGCGACTTTCCTTCATTTCCCAGAATGCCCTCAGAGAGCGGGCATTGAGCCGGCTGGTTTGACAGTGAGAAGCTAACGGGGGGAGTGAAGGTCTCCAGGTCTGATTGGCTGCGTTTGCGCTGAATGTGCACCGTCAGTAAAACGTTTTTATTTCCTCTGTTGCTTCCTTAATGGATTTTCTCCCCTGTCTGATTGATAAATGTCGAGTCAGAAGGTCTGAAACCAACAAATAAAGATCTCAGCATGAGGTCGGCCGCTTCTAACTTTGGCCAGTTATCCAGAAGAATAACAATAAACACACGCTATGAAACATAAGAACAGACGAAAAGACTGCAGACTGTAACGTTTACTGCCAATATTTCCCGCTAAGCCACAGAGTGCAATTAACTCCAGAGTCTCAGACTTTCAATGCATTTAAACAAACATGCTCAGGCGTGCAGCTATGATTTGGCTGAAGGAGGAAACCCCTCCATACAGAATAATCCACATAACAGCGGCCAAGCGGGAGTCTTAAAGCAGGCCTCGGTATAAAATCTAACAACCAGGTTTATTGCACGTGTTGCACCTGAAATTGGCTTAATTGCTCAATAACCACGACTGGCTGTGCGTTTTGCCCGCCATTAAAACAAAACGCCCGGAGGTTAAACAAGCATGAGAGGAGCTGGAACCAAGCCAGCGCTGCGTAATGTCTTAGATTTCCAGATGACAGCAGTTGAGCTGAATTCTTGTGATTTTGTGTAATTTAATCCAATTATGTATAATGTGAGGTGAGCTGCATGATAGTTATGATAACAAATATGTTGCCTTTAGTCAAACTAAATGGTACCTGTGGCAACGAATCAACACAGAGAGGAGGAGTGACATCATGGAGGGCACGTTCAACTTCACGCACGGATGATGTCGGCTTCCACGGAACACGCACGGCCGTGTGCACACACTCGCTGAGCAGCGAGCGCTCGCCCGTGCACTGATCGTCCACTCTGCTCGAGTGTGATGGCGGCGTGACGCACACATGACACACACATACACACACACACGACACACACATGACAAACACACACATGACACACACGACACACACATGACAAACACACACATGACACACACACGACACACAAACACACACATGACAAACACACACACACATGACACACACATGACACACACGACACATAACAAACACACATGACACACACATGACATGCACACATGACACACACACATGACACACACACATGACACACAAACATACACATGACAAACACACGACACACACACACACGACACACACACATGACACACAAACATACACATGACAAACACACGACACACACACACATATGACACACACACATGACATGCAAACACACACATGACAAACACACGGATGTCCTCCAACCCACGTGTGCTCTGTACCAATCATGTGTGTTTTCACAAAGTGCAAACGAGCCATTAAAGGCCACCGATGCAAGCGAGGCAGTGTGGTAGTCATGAACCAAGACCAAGACCAAGACCAAGACCAGAGCGAGTCCCACACTGCATGACACGCTTACGATAAACATGCAAACCAGATCCACATTCCCACAGAAAACACATGAAGATTCCTCATCATTCACCTCTTATATATGATGAGGTCATTATCATATGTACTATAAGTCGCATTATGGGCGATACGACCAAAATCTTTTATCGCAGTAAAGGTCATTACATATCTCCATAACGATATATCATGATGTTTTTTTCTGGTTGTTGAATAAATAAATAGTCTAATATGAAATACCCACATAAATACTCGACGAATTAAAAGTATTGTCTCATTTAATTAAGAACTTTCGTGCCAAATGAACATAAATAGTGAAAGTAAAGAGAAATAAATGAATATTTTCCAGCATGTGTTTACATGCATGCACATGAATACAGAGTCATCAAATCAATACAACAGTTAAGGTAATTTGAGCGAGTCTGTGCCTGTTATTATCAATATAGACGACGTACTTGCGCATCACGATATCTCGATGTATGAGTTCATCACGATACGGTTCCCCTGAAGGACGATAAACCATCATGTTGAATTATCTATTATCTACCATGTGTGAGAATGTTCCTCAGTTTTCTATGAGCCATCACAGTAATGATGTTTGACTACTGAATCAAACGGGAACAATTAGACCAGACCGGGTGAACACGTGGTCGATTACGAGACCCTCAGAAGCCGGTCTGGGGACCGAGCCTGATGTGGAGTCCCACAACAACACTGGCGCTGCTGTTATCTTTGCACCGTGTTCAGTGATCAGTTTACCCAACAGGCGCCTCACCTCACACCCTCTCCCAGACAAAAAGTACAGCATGTACAGTCTGTAGCTGAGCCTCGTCGTGAAAGGACGAAGCTTCGTTTGAAAAAATGGAAGTGAGGAGGATCAAGGAGGGAAAAATTGCTGCGTGCAGATGGCACGTTCTGGGCCCGAAGGATATTCTATAATTCTGGGATTAATTCATGTAGAAGACGGAGCGAGAGAACCAGACACTTTCGACATTCCTCTCTGTCTCTTTTTTCGGGGCGCCGTCATTTTAGGTTGATGCAAATCATTGCACCATCTCTCCCCCCCCCCCTTCATCCATGTCAGTCTCCCCCTGTCATGATACACCACATCGAAAACAGCCTCTAGAAGCCACCTCATTAGTATGCAGCAATATGCAAATGAGCTTGATTTGTTAGTCTCTGTGTGTTTCATATCACCAGGTTTTTCTCTCTCTGTGTGTGTGTGTGTGTTTGCCATGCTGTCACTCTCTCCTGATTTTTCTCTCTTGGCAACGTCGAACACACAGACGAACTGGCTGAACTCATCTACTGTGGAATGTAGCTCCATGTGCTGCTCTGTCTGTGTGTGTGTGTGTGTGTGTGTGTGTGTGTTTCTGCAGATATCGATCTCCTTATCGGTGAGGTAACATTGCTCTTTAATGTCCAGTCGCTCTCTCTGCTAAGTCTGTTATTTCATTTTGGATTGTTTTCTCCCAGCGTAGCGACAGTGATGGAGGCGTCCAACAATGAGTCCTACCTGGAAATAGAGTCGGAGCACTTGTCTGTCGAATTACAGGATGATTGGCTCTCGGCCGCTACGATGTGCGATAATATGGTAACTGTAACACACGAGCGGGTCAAATCATCCCTCAGTTTATCCCCCATGACGTTTCTATCACAAAGCTCCAAAAACATTTTAACCATCTTTGAAAAACCAAACAACACAACTGAATGTCTTTCCACAATCCTCAAAGACTCTTCTCACAATCTGAAGGGAAAAATATGCCAAAACAATAAAGATTTTTAGTTTGTCTGTCAAGTTGCGAATGTATTTCCTGATTCGAACAAAGATGGCGGCTTGAAATTGCACATCTCCGTCCTCAATTTGTGCCACACGACCCACAATTGTATCCCTACGTTGATGATCCTTTCAGATGATTTATACCTTCATACAAAATAACACAATAGTTTGTTTGTGCTTTACAAAACGAGTGAGGACAAGAGTCATCTCCACAGCCCTGGATGGTAAATACAGCCACAGATCTTTTCTTATGATCTAACAGATGGAACACATTTTGAATCCGGTTGGTTAGAAGAACCTTCTGGGTTTGTCAAAGATCAGATCTTTTCAGAAAAATCAGATGAACTGTGAATTCAATAGAGACACAAAGAGGCACAAACCGGACAAAAAGTGTTTAAAGCAGCTTTTCTTAACGTGCAATGCTGGGAACTTTTAAAGAAACACTTCATGGTTACTGACTCATCATCCAGCATCATTAAGGAACATTTTGATGTGTCGGTACATGAGGTTTTTTGTGAGTAGCCATTGAATTCACTGATGTTTTCTTTTATTGTTGCTCTTCTTTTAAGTGAGAGAATATTTCAGGAGTCTTATCAAGATTTTCAAAAACAAACATCTTGTTTTCACACAAGTTGAATCTGAGGAACATAACTAAATGTATGAATATCATATAATCAAACTGAGATAATTATGTTTTAGAGTAATTATAATGATTGGAATATTGACTGTTGGTCCATTGATCGCATTACGGCTATAACAACTAACCCAACCCTCTGGATGGTTTACATTCTGCCCTCGGATGCTTTTTGATTCGATGTTTACTGCTGAACATACAACTCTTCTTCTCACAGACGTTTCTTTTCATCTCTCCAAGGTGTTGGGCATGTGCCAGCACCTGTCCTTATATAGTGTTTAGTGGGCGTTACCTAATAAATAAACAATGTAGCCACACGCTGTGAATTATGACCACGTGGGATTCATCATTCAGTTACCTGAGGAAGAGCAGATTTGGTTGAAAAACATTTGGAAAAAAAACTCCGAACAGAAAATGTAAAGAATGTTGCTGCGTGAAGTTTTATGTGTTTTGTGCAACTTCGCAGAATAAATCTTCATTTCAACAAAGAGCTCATTAAATAACCTCCGTCATATCTCGGCCGTGTTTTACCCTGACGACGTATTTGGGCGTCACATTCGCAGCTTCACCTAAAGAGCTTTAGGAGAAACAGAATAAGGTGACGTTGATGTCGGAGGTACGATGGTTGCTGTGCTTTAAACTCCGCAGCAGCAGCAGAAGAAGAAAGGAGTCAGACTCAGCGCCACCTGGACCGGCTACAACATTAAACCCTGCTAACAGGTTAACGCATCAATAATTCAACACTGTGAAAGGAAGCATCTTCACCACGAGCACTTCTGATACAGAGCAGGACTCTACTGATGATACTTGTTTACTTTGACTGAGGTCGGCCTTTGAATGCAGCATTTCTTCTTGAGATGGAGCATCGTTTTCAAAAATAGCATTTTGGATTTGAGTGTTCGATTTTTAGTACTTGTCCTGCAAACTCACAAGGATGAGTCTTGGAGTTGATCTGGTGTTTTTATACCGCATGTGTTTATTTATTTAGATGTTAACCTAAAATAACAGGAACATGATGACAATATGATCCCTGTATTTACAGTAATGTGCTAATGACATAATAAGACATCGACAACATGTTATATATCCTGTTCATGTCGTCTACTTTCTAGTAGTTTTGTGTTTTTACGGTTTAATATTTTGCGCTGAGCAACAGACTTGAGATAAGATGCTTAACTTCAATAGACTTTGAGTTTTAGTGACTTTTAATTGCATTTAAATCCTTTTGTTTGATGCTGACGTGCTGTTTAAATGAACCTTTCTAAACGTGTTCATGACACGCAGCGTGAGACTGCATGCACATCCTAAACTCTACTTTAACCTCGAGTAGAGCTCTGAACTTAAAGGAGCAGTTCACCAGGAACCACAGAACCAACAGTGAATCCTTACCAATACTTCCATCTCAACCTTCACCCAAACTATCAAAGCTAGTCATCGCTTTCCTTCAAACATGCTAGAGAACTCCCCACAAACAGCTTCTTACAGATGCAAACGTTTTGTGGATATAATACATGTCCAGATATTCACCCAATCGTCTCCTCTAATCCCCTCAACGGTGAAGCTTCGGTCACACGTGTGCATCCGTGCATGCTACTGTATGACGTGCACGTGTCTGTCAGCATTGTGGGTAACAAACAACATGTGAGAGACATGTGTTTCATTTGGATACAAAGTCTAAAAGAGACATTCTACTCTGACTGGAGCTTCATCTTTTAGGTGAACTCTTCCTTCAGTCAAACACGCGCACACACACACACACACACACACACACACACACACACACACTATGATAATGTGAAGTGATTGAACTTGTCATTTCAAGGCAGTTGCATGGATGAAACTTTTCCTTCACTCTGACCTTGACAAAATATTACAATTCATTTAATAAGATTAATAAAACCCTCCCACAGTGAAGGAGCTGTGTGTGTGTCTGTGTGTGTGTGTGTGTGCGCGTGTGCATGTGTTTCCTCCACAGCTCCTGAAATCATTACGTGACGTAGGGAACAGGTGTGTCGTACCTGCGGCAGGGCGATGGACAGCTGCCTCTGGAGCGACTCCTTCTCGTGGCCCAGATCTCTGAGGCGCAGGTGGGCCGTCCCCAGACAGTCCTGGGTGTCCCTCAGGCTCTCCAGCAGCCTCTCCCTCTCCGTCAGCATGTTCACCATCAGTGACTCCAGGTTGCCCGTGCTGCCGCCCTCATCGCTGCCGCCGCCACTGCTATTACTATTACCACCACCACTACCACTACCACGGGGCTCCCTGCTGCCAAAGCCCCCAATGCCTCCTATGCCTCCTCCTCCGCCCCCCGCTGGGGAAGACGAGCCGCCTCCTCCGCCTCCGCGCCCGTCCTCCGATATGGTGGGCATCACCTCGCACATCATCTTGAGGCCTGGGTGTGAGAGGCGTTATATCTGAGAGGCGGTCTAGGACACTTGACGGCAGCGTCTGGTGGACCACCGACTCCTAATCAGACGGCCAACCGATACTTTAGGGTGGGTGGGGTGTGGGGGGGCGTTCCTCTCAAGCAGGAGACAAGTGCAAGAGGGGGGAGACGAGCTCTGTGGACTTGTGGGTGAGAGTTTCAACGTTGTATTAGGAGGGGGGAAACAGTGTTGGGTGACGAGGGGGCTGTGGGTCTGGTGGAGGGGGGGCGCAAGGGGTACGAGGGAGAGGTGCAGGTTTTAATGGATGACCTCTGACCCCCGGCCCAGGCTTCACTGAGATGAGAGAAGGACCTGGAGAGAGAAGAAGAAGAAAGACATGTTTAGGAACACAAGAGGTTTTTATAAAGCCTAGATTTCTCACCAGACACACACATGTATCACACACACACACACACACACACACACACACACACACACACACACACACACACCTTTCTCCAAACCACTCAAAGACAACAACCACCGCTGTTGCAGCACAGCCCCTCTCTTCCACTGACTTGGCATCGCGATACTCAACGTGTGGACTAACCCGCCCGTCCATCAGTGCATGTCTATGGATCCACAGACAGTCGTAACGGTGCAAATGAATGGCGCATGATGCACGGAACGAGTCGTTACCTCAGCAGCCTGTTCAAACACAGCCGTCACACACACACGGAACAATCATCGGGCCTGCAGGCTGGAGCAGAGAGACGCGGCGCTGTTTCATACATCTCATGAGGGGGGTGAAGAAGAAAAAAAAGGGTGTCATCATGAATTGTAATTACGAGCTGTATCCAGGAGGAAATTATTTTTTCTACGGCTCCGGAAGCCATCTGTAAAAAAAAAAAAAATATATATATATATATATATATATATTCTGTGTGAATCAGGTTTATTGTCCTCAGGGTTTGGACGGGAAATAAATTGCTGTCTTTACAAAAATAAATGGCTTAAAAGGGTGAAGCCTATTTTTTTAAAGCATGTATAGGGCTGTGCACGAGAGGAGGTGCCAATCACGCTGTAAATGATGGAGGCCTAATTAACACGTTCAACCGGGAGATACATATCACGCAAGTGGGTTATTTTTAGTGACATGAATGACCTAAATGTCGGAAAACGGTGCGTCTCTTTGGCTTTTATTCCGACTGCAAGGCGTCTATTTCCTATCAACTCCCCTCCCTCCCTCCCTCCTTCCTCCCCTCCACCCATAAAAACAGCTGGACGGTCGAACGCACAGCTAGATCCGTGTGTGCAGCGAACATCACGGTGGATTTCGGCCGCAGCCGCCGAGCGATGCGTGTGTCTTACCCTCTCCATGATCGACAGAGACAGGAAGTAAAGGCGCCTCGGTGGCCGGTTCACTCCATCGGAGCACCTGAGAGACGGAGGCTGCAGCTTATCCCCCCGTTACAGCCCGGTTACCAGCCTACCCCATCCCTCCCTCTCTCTCTCTCTCTCTCTCTCTCTCTCTGAGGGGAGCGACGCTTCGGCTCCGGCGTAAAGACGCACGGAGGAAACACAGGCTACATCCGGTCAGGAACTTTCAGAATAAAACGTGCAACAAAAACAGCTGGTGTGACCTTTTATTTAGTGGAAAATACACAACCCACAAACGCAACATCGACTCAATATTCTTGAATATTTCTTTTTAAATAATTACATATTTCTAAATATTTTTTTCTCATGGAAAATATATCCTTTAACTTTCTTTTTGTTCTGATTATCAATTAGTATAGAATTAATAATAATAATATATTGTTATTATGAATAATAATGTGTTACAAAGTGCTTAACAAGACAATAAAAGGAGATTAGTGAGGCAAAACTAAAAACAAAACAATGATTATTATTATAATTATTAAGTCACTCTGCAATTGACTGCACATATTCTAACAGGTGACAAATAAAACCCCAGAATCTCGTTAAAATCTTCAATAAATATCAGTTTAGATTACTTTCATTTCTTTTATTGAGCCAGTATAAAAGGTGCCTGGATGACTCATGATTAGTTGTATTTGATAAGGCAGAAATGATGATTAAATCATTGCGACTTACTCGAGAGTTTTACCTCTTCAGGCGTTTAAAAACTATCCAAATCTAACACTGAATGGAACATCCACTGAAGGGAACATCCAACCTTTATTCTGAAGATAATTAACACAGTTTCCGGTCCCATTCCTGATGCTTTGTGTAACTTGACGCCCTCCCATCGTTTCTCTCCCCTCGTCTCTCCTCCTCGATAAAGATGCTGGGTCTTAAAGAAACAAGCTCACAGCAGATACATGACTCCCCACGTCCTCAAACTCACTTCCAGCTGCACGTTGTTTCACTTTCACGCCTTTAAACACAAAACAAATGCACATCAGCAGAGTGAGAGGTATTTCATTAATATGTTCTCACGCTGTGGTCCACAAAAACTTGCTAAAAATAATTAAACAATTGCGCCTTCTGGCGGCTCAATAAGGAGAATACAAAGCACTGATGTCTAGATTTTAAATATCCATCATGATTCACTCGTTTATGTGTAAAACTGAACAGTATGAAGAACTTTTTAAAAGGTTACGATCAGAAATAAATAACCTAAAAATGACCAGAACTTCAACTTTGAAAGTTGATATTAAGTTTCGGGGATCTATGAGATATTCAGTTATATCATCCAAATAAATTGAATAAAAATGTTGACAATTTTCTTTCTTATTCAGCTTATTATGTCAGTAACAGTATAACAGACACCTTCAGCAGTCATGAAAGGATTGGTCTGTCAGCCAATCAGAGTGCAGAGGAGGCGGGACTTAAGCCTGTATACAGAGGGGGGTGACGTAATGCCCTCTTCAGAGAGGGTGATGTACAGTAGAGCCACCAGTGAGATTCAAAGAGCGTCCACATTTAATGAGCAACAATATGTTTTAAAGAGAAGAAAAAGAAACAAATAAAAAGTATACTTTTTAAGAAATTTACAGTTCAGAGTATTTTCTTTTTGCAGTAAAGCAGCCTAAAAACACAATAAAAACACAGTAATACAACAGATGCTTTAAATGTATTAAAGTACTTGTCAGTGTCCTGTCTGGTACATTTTAGAGTCACTCTTAATCAGTGTGAGAGTGATAGCACTCAATATATATATTTATATATGTTTTGATGTTGTTCTTAACTTTTGTATGTTATTTGTGTTTGTATGTAGTGAAACTTTTACGCTGCCATATTGGCCAGAGAGATTCAGAATCTCAATGGGATTATCTTTGGATGAATAAAGGTTAAATAAAATAAAATAAATACCAAAAATGCCTCGGAAATATTTAATATTATCTGCAAAGGCCTGAAGATGAGTCAGCCTCAAATAAAAACGTCCTCTGAGATTCTTAAAACATAAAGAGACCAGAGAGGAACACACACACACACACACACACACACACACACACACACACACACACACACACACACACACACACACACAGCACCTGAATGAAGTCTATTTACACCATTTACAGAATGAAGAATTTGTTCCTCTTTGAGGGATCACACAAGTCACAGAGACCACATTCACAAAGTTTTATCCTTTACCTTTAATACTTAGAATATTAACATCCTTATCGTGGAATAATACTCCGTTATCAGCACAAATCCTGCTCCCGTTACAGTCAAATAGAAAGAGTCAGGTTATTTTCATTGTGTTAAGTTTTTGTTACTGCATCTTGTTTTTGAACAGATATATATATAAATCTGGGTACTTTAAACTATAACAGTGCACCAAATAGTGTGTTCATCTGCAAAATAATAGTGAGATTTTAAGAAAGAAAAGGAGAGAAACGGTATAATAAGTGTAGTAAATGTACAGCGCCTCAGTGGTCCAGTGAAGTCTCAGCACCTGAACAGAGGAGCCTCTAACACCTCACGACGTCCTAACAGACCTGCTGACAGAGTGTTGACAGCTGCAGAGTCTCCGCTGCTCACAAACAGCTGGATGAGATGTCAGAGGTCCTCTGAAGACCAGCAACACAACACAGACCTGTTAGAGTACCACCGGGACCCGAACCCTCGCTGCACCTTTTCACAGGAAACCGCCAACAGACCATGTCAGGAAGACAGACACAGTCCTACTGCATGAATAATAAAAACACATATATATATATATGTATCAGTGTTCATTATTGAATGTTGTGCATAACAATGCGATTCATCGCGATTCATTTTTAAAATATTTTATATATATATACCGTATAGGTCTGTTGCTTTATACTTCAGCTTAGTTTTTTATTCATTATTTCAGTTCTAAAAAGCATTTTAAAGACACATCTATGATGTATCTCAGCACACTATCTGAACCCGTCATCATCGGATATAAAACATCATTTTGGTATCTTCCAGTATTATTCTACGTGGACTGATAAAGAATCTGCACTTTCTTCTGTGGATTACATCATAAAAAACACTGACTTGATGATCCAGGCGGCTTCCTGAAGACGTCTCTGTTTGGGCCGATATGACAGCGGTGACGGACAGCGGGCAGCTGGGTGGACACCAGGAGAGGAGAAGGACCCCCCCGCGGGGGTCACGGGGGGTCAGCGGGCCGGAGGAATGCTGATAGGAATGCCCTGAGCAGCGGGCCAGGGGAGCATCTCGTCAGCAGGACAACAACAAGCATCAGCTGATCTCTGGGGAGCCATGACAGTGGACAACAGGCCCAGTGTCTGCAGAGAGACAGCCACCCGGAGGAGGAGGAGGATGACAAAGAGGAGGAGGAGGAGGAAGAGGAAAAGGAGGAAGAGGAGGACATCTAAACACCCACCCACACACACACTGTATTATTACTTATATTATTCTACTCTAAAGTATGTTGTTTGTATCAAATCACTCTTACAGCTAAATACAATATTACAACAAATCAAATATGCAGTCAAATAGATGCAATATGAACATTTTCAGAGTTTAGATTTTCTGCTTTTCATTCAACAACCTGCTGAGGTTTTGGTGAAAATTTCTGCAGCTTGTTCTCGGTGTGAGCTACAGAGACATAACTACATTAGTTTACAAGCATGCAGGATTTTAGGGATCATTTGAGCACCGAAAGTCCTTTTATGTGGTGACAGTTTTACGCTGCCATCTTGGCCCGGACTCCTTCATCAAAGGGATTCAACATGTCATCAACGTAAAGATTTTTGCAGATGTTTCATTTATAGTAATAGCCAGGCTGCAGAAAGAGAGCGTGGTGATTGGCTCTTTATTTCACATTTAACGCTGCTTCTGAGGAAACCTGACGAAGAGCTTCAGGAAAGTGAACTGCTCTGTGACCGACCTGCACGGAGGAAGACGACGCTCTCCAGGAAAACAATCGTTACTGTGGGATGAGACGCGGCAGGAAGACGAGAGGAGACACTTTGGAGAGTAAACAGTGAAAATCTGTCCCCCCAAAAACTTGGATTTCAAGACGTTTGGTTTAGAGGTTTTAAATTAATTCTTTATTTAAAGATGATTTTACACTGAAGACCCTGCAATGAAAACTTCACTGAAACTGAAGATTTCTGAAAACACACACACATATACACATGTACAGTATATATATATATATATATATATATATATATATATATACACACACTGTATAAGTGTGTATGTATGTGTGTGTTTTGAGATCTTAAAATCTAACGGAGACCACAGAGATGAACACACAGTAGAATATGTCAGGATTCACGAGCCATATACAAACACTCCACGTTATTCAGTTTGTGGAACCCATCTGGATATCTGTGTCAGTGCAAATCGTGTGCGTGTGCGTGGGCGTGTGTGTGTGTGTGTGTGTTTGTGTGTTGTTTGTGTGTTGCACTAAGTGTGTATAGGCAGATTCTGTGGCGGCTCTGCAGGCAGATTATTGTGGACCTCGGCCGGGTGTTCAGCTGTGAGAGAGAGAGAAGAGAGAGATCCAATAAAATAGAAGAAGAAATTCCACTCCAACAATAAAACACACTTGTCATATCTCAGATCGTTTACCTTTATCTTCCTCTTTTTGTGCCTCTGGTTGGAAATGTAGTTCTCCATTAGGACCCGCGGGAGGCTGCCCGTCTGCTGCCTGCTGCTCTTTCTGTCTCTGGGACATTTCTAACACTGCCTGAAATTTAAAAAATGACGATAGAGGGGCGATAGATTATGATCTGTACGTGCTTCGGTGTTACTACAGGCTGAAAACATGAGCGACGCGTTGCACAGTTACCTGCTGGTACTCTTTCCTTTGGGCCTCGAGGGCTTTGCCTCGCTCCTTCAGCAGCTCCTGCTGCTGATGCAGATTCTCCGCCTTCCTCTTCAGCTCCTCCTCTCGGTCCAGGAGGTCGACCTCGAACCGCTGCAGCTCCTCCTCCGTGTACAGCGGGCTGGTTTCCAGAGTCTGCAGAGACACAGGAGTCACACGACATATTTAGCATCTCTACAGAGCATGCTAACGTAATAATTATACGCCCTCCTCTACAGGAAGATAAATCTATATTATGGTGTTAAAACTACAAATATTCAGCGTTCACGCTCATGATATTTTCCTCACATTAAAACTCTTCACTGACACATTTACAGAATCATCTACCGCGTCGCCTCAAAGGAGCGGCTCAGAGTCTGTGAGCTGATGAGGGAAAGAATAGCTTCACCCGTTTAACTTCACCGCCCACGTCCTCCCAGCTTGTCCCGGGGATTTGAACAACAGACCCTCCGACCCGCCCACCCACCCACCTGCAGCCCACCTCTGGGCTCCTTACCTCCCACTCTTTGGGATTACTGAACTCCTTCTTCTCCGTGGATTTCAGGAACTCCTCCAGGGTGACGAGACGATCTTTATTCACGTCCACCTTTTTAAAAACACGGAGACGAAAGCTGCGTCAGTCGAATAAAAAATAAAAGAGCAGAGCGATAAAAGCAAACAGTTCAGACTCACATTCTTCATCACATGCTCCCTCATCCTCAGCCTCTCTTCCTCCATCTCCGTCATATCGTCCTCCTCATTCTTTGCGTCGTAGACTTTCTCCAGCTGGAGGAGGGAGATGAACAGATGTTACAGGGCAGATGTGCACATCACTGCTGTCAGGTTCAAAGCTTTTACTAAAATAAAGTCTGCAGGAACACAGATGAAACAGCTGTATTTTCAAATGGATGATCATCCATTTTTTGATATTTTGTCGTTTTAAGGAGTTCATTGTGAAACCGAACCAGTAAAAGAGTTTGAAGCCGTGATGTTCTTCAGGGTTCTTTACCTCTTTAGTGAAGAGAGCCTCCAATTCCTGCTCATCTAAAACTCCGTCTTCATTTGTATCTAAACAGGGCAGAGAAGCACTTTATTCATATTCACTCACATCGTAACAAAGACCAGGGGTTCAACAGCAGAGGCGTCCCTCACCATGCAGTTTAAAAAAGGTTTTGGGGTTGAACTCCTGAGGATCCAGTCCGTCCGTCTCCTCCCAAACTTCCCGTAGTTGATTAACACTACCCTGCGTGTGGAGAAACGTGTTAGAGAGCTTCACTCGCTTCCAGACAGAAGCAACACGGGTGCATTTGAGCGTACCGGAGCGTTGACTTTGGGGTGCTGCCGGTGTTTGTCCTTGAGCTCCTGCATTCTCTTCTCCTCTCGCTCCCTCTTCTCCTGGTCCAGGCCCTTCAGGTACTCCCGTCTCTCGTGCTCCTTCAGCATCTCGTAGCGTTTGAACTCCTCGTGTCTCTCGGTGTCGTAGTTCTCCAGGTCCTTGGTGGCCTAAAATGAGAGCCAGAATCATCAGATATGTGGAACAGTCAGTAACAGGCCCGCCATCTTGTTCTGACCTGTAACTGTAGCCCCCTCGAGCCTGATCCGTGTAATTGTGAGTCTGCAGGACTGTGAGGGGATTCATCACTACCCCCCCCACGCTCCATTTAAATCTGGTCTGAACATATAAACCATGCACTGATTCTCCGGTCTCTGGGGTCAACGATAATCCAGCTGTTGTTCTCTCTGGATGATCTTACCGTCGTGATTAGCAGCTCGAGGTCTTTGGCCTCGAAGGTGTTTTGATTGTGGGGATCCAGATGTTCAAACTGCTTCAGCAGGGAGGCGTGGTCCATCTGCAGACCTTCACAGCACACACATCGGTTAACAAGGACATGCTGCACTTTTGACACGCATGACTTCCATTAAGTCCTACGCACACTGAACACATCTCTCTACATCCCTCTCTCAATAGAAACCTTTTTATATTTTACAAGTAATGGCACACATGTTACTGTTGTGAATCTGCTGCTTCCATCTGCTTTGCTTGGGGAAAATACTGATCTGCATCCGTGCACATGAACGGGTATTACACAATAGTATAATAAGTCTACATGAACATGAATCCACACACTCTCGGTGGATAAATGAGTCCTCTCACTCTGTGTGTTGGTGCTGTCCAGTTTGGCCTTGAGCAGCATCCTGAGGCGAGAAACCTCCTGACGCTTCAGCTCATCCAGGCGAGTCCTCACGTGGTGACCGACCAGGTCCAGCTCTTTACTGAGACGACCGTTCTGCCGGAGAACACGAGACATCCAGGTGAGAACGACAGACTGAATGTGAGATCCTTAAAATAAAACGAAGGAAGCTCTGAGAGCGAGACCTTGATGTCCTCCGTGTTCGCCGTTTGCAGTTTCTCTCTGAAGTGAGGGTCCGTCTCCAAAACCTCGATCACCTCTCTGAGATACCGGTCGTAGTACAGGCCGGTGTCCTGCAGGGGCGCGTTGTAAAGGGAAAGTTATTCACAGCAAGCTGAGTCTCAACTTAAGTACACGACTGAGAATTTTGGGACCGTTACCACGTTCTCCTCCGGCACCTCCGCTTTAGCTTCCTGGTTGTCTGCATTGCGATCGATGGGCACCGACCAGACCCCGGCACAGATGGAGAGCAGCAGCAGCCAGCCAGGTTTGAGGTTCATCCTCCTTCAACATAAACAACGACGTCTGTAACAATACTGTATGTTTGACTGAACAGCTTCCATCTCAGCACAGGAAAGGAGAGGCAGAGGCGTGTGGCAAATAAAAAACAGTTCTCCACTTCTTTTGTTTTCTCCACATGAAATGAGTCAGACTCATTTAAAGGTGCACACACACATTATCACAACATGTGCGTAGTCATCACTAACTACACATATCAAGTCCAAAGCACACCTGAGAAGACACCAACTCAGACCCATACATGTAACATTGACAACTCATCATATTCAGATTTTAGTGAAATAGGTTGGTGCCTGGGGTAAACATTACCGGGAGACTTAAGAGATTTGAAACACAGTAAGATTTTAGACGTGAGTGTCTTCTCCGATGAGAATAAACAATAATATCAGATTTCTTAAATGGCATAACGACCAATGTTGAGCAGCAACACATCTCTAGCATGCTGCATTAACAGCACACCTTTAGTGTATGACGTCAGAGTTACTTATCGGAACAAACAACACGGTTTAATTAGGATGTCAGTATAATACGAGGTCGTTTCTGTATCTAGCTAGCCAACGTTAACTTACTTGATATCCATTTCCGTGATAGTTAGCAGTGAGCTACAGAAAACGTCCTTTACCCCTTACGTCACGATTTTCTATGAATTCTTCCTTTAAAATCCGCCGATATTAAAAACGTACCATTAAAAAATGTGTCATCACATAAAATATCTTTCAACAGCTCGTCTCGTATGTGTTGTCTGTAATACCTGATCCGAGATGCTCTGAACAGGATCTGATGTCGCGTCGGATAAAAGTGACGTCACGGGAATGCGGCACTGGTCCAACATGATGCCTTCAAAGACCGTCGGAAATAATGGACGTATTTATTTCCTATTTTTGGACATTCATATTTTTTTTTTCGTACTACAGCCGGTAATAGGCCAGAAAACCTTTCTGATTAAGAAAGAAAATCATCAGCCAACAACACACGTGCTCTTACATCTGTCCTTTACCGGGGTGATTGTGTCCCATCAAACGTAGATGAATTGTAACATAGGCTTAGGACTCAGAAGTACTACCCTACGATTAGTAAGTGAAGGCAGCATTTCCTCATTGGTAAATAACACCCAAAATAACACACAACACGAGTACAAACGCTTTAAACGTTTAATTGCTTTGTAAAATAGATCTGTTGTATATTTAATTCCACACACAAACACAAAGTCATGGCAAGTTGAAATAAATTAACATAGAAAGAGCCAACAATTGCACGTGATAATAAATTAAAGGGTATAAATATTGTGCAACAAAAATAACATCTAGGCATACAATAAAATTAATAGAAATAGATAATAAAATATGGCACATGCAAAACAGATAGCTGCAAAATTGTTCACAAATAAATAAAATTTAAAAAAATAAATTAACAGTCACTCAATGAAGTAATTTTTAAAAATATCAAGACATGCCAGAGCATTTTGAGGTCTTGATCAATTTATATCAGTTTGACTGATGGACTTTGATGTAAGGTTTTTGATTGATTCACACTTCCAATGCAACCGTTGATTCGGTGTTTAGAAATCAATCTCCCTCATGTCTGTAGGTGTCCCGGGTCTCTCGTTCTCCACCTCTTCCTCCTTCTCCATGGGGCCCTGCTGCAGGCCACTCCTCAGCCGCTGCCGCAGGGAATATTCGATCATATCACTGTAGCACTGCAGCACTGCCTGGGATGCAAGACACAAAGAGAATACATGATTTTGTTATAGATGCAATGACTGTAGAACATGCAGTATTCTGAGTTTGTTTGCTTAACACTGATTGGTCTTGCAACTCTCATCCCTGTACACCAGAATAACCCCTAAATGTGATCAAATCAGATAACTAGGCCCGAGAAGAGCCTCAGGCTTTGCAGGTGTCTCACACTCACCAGGTCAGCCTGACAGAGCTCCGCCAGCGCCTCACAAATCACAGCCAGCTGAGCGGGGCCCTTGTTGCCCAGACCCCGCAGGGCACAGTTCAGAGATGCTGCGGCGACGAGCGACGGCGGGGCTCCCAGAAAGCGGGAGTCGCAGGCACACATGGCGGCCAGCGTGTCGCTGTGCCGCCGCAGGGTGGAGAGCAGCGCCTCCTCAGAGTCGCCGCTGTCTCCATCTCCTCGCTCCTCCACGGAGGCAAGAAAATGTGGGAGGAAGTCCTGCGGAGTCACTGCTGCTGTGTCCCATCGGAGGGTGGCGAGGATGACACGCTCCATCTCCTAATGGAGGGAAGACAGGTGCATTTAGAAAGGCTCGTGTAATACATGTTGTAATTCAGACATTGTGATGTGAGAATAGATTTCATATTATATTGTGATACATAGTATGGTCTTCTCCTGGGCTTGAAGTCTGCATTACAGTTCAGTCCGTTACTCATTTACCCTAATTTTAAATTCTAAATTTAATATATGTATCAATATTGAATTGAATTGACTTTTTTTTTCAATTTAAAACAATTATTTTGATGATTAAAAGTATTATAGAGAACAGAATACAACATTTAAAGACATTTAAAGATGTCTCCATGGGCTCTGGAAAGTTGTGTCTCTGACCAAATGAATAATCAATTAATAAAAAACAAAAACAACATTTGGCAGATTCATTGTTAATGAAACGTTTGCAGTAAAAGCCTTAATTGTTTTGTCAATGTCATCCATTTGGGCTCTGGTCACTTAATCTTATATCCAGTATAAACCCTTTGATTGATCAGTCATTTACAAGTGATGAAAACAACATCAATAAAATAGTTGTAACCCTCTTGGATTGTAAATTCAAGTTTGAAGTGGATTGTCATCCAGTTGATGGATGAACGAAGGCATCACAATCATAAAAAGAGAAGAAAATCTGTTTGTTTATTGTTTCCCTTTGTGATCTGTCTTGACATTAATTTGAAAAAAGTATAAAGGCGGCTCCAACTCTTTAGAATAATGGCAACCTGAAAGGTTTAAAACTAGGTATTAATAATCAATCCAGTCGCAAGCCGGATTAAATATGTTGAATATATGAGAAACCGTGAGCTGAAAATTACCCCAAAAAGTCTACTAGGTTTGTTTTATTTGAAGGAAAAGAGGAGAGAGCAATGTTCTTTTAGAACTAGCTCCACTACAGCCACGTCTCTGCTGACTCACCCGCAGGTTGGAGGGCTGGAAGCTGTACTCGGCTGCGGCACAGAGGGTGTCGGTGGTGACGTTATCGCACTCTGTGATTTTGGAGGCGATGAGGATGCAGCCAGCAGCCAGGCAGTACGGCGAGACGGGCAGAGACAGCGAGGCAGACAGGAACCTGTCCATCAGAGAGACGGACAGGGGGAACACGGCCTCGTCGCAGCCACACTCACAGCACACCTGTGGTGAGAGAGAGGGGGAGAGAGAGAGAGAGGCATCAGCATCACAGCTGCAGTGTTGACATCCAGGAGTAACTGGAGCATGGAGCCCTCTCATACCTCCAGGGCCCATTTGGCGAGCTCGTCCCTGCGCTCTGGCTCCCGCTGGATGAGGGTGATGTAGAGGATGGAGGGCGTGTACCTCTCCTCCACGTGGAGCAGCCTCTGGATCACACGCTGCCCGGACACCGTGGGGTCCCAGGCGGCTCGCAGCTGAGACGAGCCCACCGTGTGGCCCCGGGCTTCAGTCTGGCCCCGGTCCTGACTCTGGTCCTCCTCCACCTCCTCACACCACAGCGACACAAACATGCTTCTGTCCATCTGCAAACAGCCTGCTGGGTGGAATATCAACTTGTTTTACGTCCAAATGGGAAAGAAAAAAAAAACAGCAGCTAGTGTCCCTCTGTCACCTTTGTGTTGTGCAGGTAAACAGAAGCTGGGAAATCGTGTTTTCCCTGGGTGGAGTGGTTTTGGCTTCCTGTGGTGCTCTGATGAATGTCAGCGCTCATCTATCAGCTCAGGGTTTTATATCCAGCAGGGAGAGAGAGAAAGAGAGAGAGAGAAAGAGGGGGAGAGTGGCACAGAGAGGGGAGGAAGAGGAGTGTAGAAAAAGGGGGCGTGGACCCTCGTGAGTGACATTAAATAATAAGAAGACAACAATATGGTCCGTGCAACAATTGCTTCAACAGGTGGGGAGAGGGAGAAGGACGGGAGAGCAGGGGGGTGGAAAGAGGAGCAGACAAGTGAGGGAGTGGCCCGGAGGGACGGAGCAACAGCTTGTCTTCGACAGTGAAAGAGAGAAGGGAGGACAGAGAGGGGAGAGAAAAGGTCATATCCAGACTGTGACAATGGGAATGGATGACAAAAGGAGGAGGTGTTTGTTTACAACGAGAGAGCCGGAGGAGATGTGTCAAAGTCTGGATGGATGTTTAAATCCTGCTGCCGGACCATCAAGATCCTCAAAGTACTGATATGTGTTTGTTCTCTTTAAGACATACTCACCCCTAAATACTTTGACAATACAATACTTGTTATACAGAAAGAAAATGATTTGATATGTTCAAGTCTGTCGTCTTTTATGTGAATTTATTTTATGTTGTTTTCAAACGTGGGTCACAAAATTAATTTAGTGGAAAAAATATATATACATATTACAAATAATTTATTGTTTTTTTCCGTTTTTTCCGACAGCAAAATTTTTTTTTAATATATATTTTTTTTTTTTTTGGGGGGGGGGGGGGGGGGGGGGGTTTTTTTTTTTTTTTTTTTTTTTTTTTAGGTGAATTTTTTTTTTATGTAGGGGGGTTTTTTTTTTTTTTTGCTTCCATATATATGAAAGTGAATTGACCATCTTTTGGTTTTGAGTGTTTTCAAGACTAAACAAGACTTCACCTTGAGCTCTGGGAAATGAGGTCAGACATTTTTTCTGACTTTTCATAAACTAAACAAAAGCAAAACTTCCCAAAAGTGCAGCACGCGATCTCCAAACACGATGGAGCTGAAACAATCACTCGTAGTTTTTCTGATGAGGGGACGACAACAGATTTCATTTTTGTTTCTAGGAAAGTTTGGGAACCACTAGTGTAGATTACAGTAGATTACCCAGCCTTTAGTAGTGTATTGATCCCATATTACCATAAAATAAGGATAGATGCTTTTCAAAATAAAGTTACAAAGTGCTTGACATGGTTGAACCAGGATTAAAACATTTCAGGACCGCAAAGAGGCAAAAATAATTAATTAAAAAATGAAATGGAATAAAATTCAGTGACATAAGATGAACATACATATTTAAAAAATAATTGTATTTTTAAACATTGTATTTGAATTTTTTTCCTATTGTACATGTTTGACAATAAACTGGATTCTGATTTAAAAAAATAAAAAAATAACACGTTGGAAATAAAACTGTAAGAGTGCAACTCTTTAGAATATGTTCATCATTAGTTTTGGCTCTGCCTCTTCTTGTCTCCGAGGTTTTCTCATTGTCAAAGCAACCTGTGGCCCGCTGCCCCCCCCCCCTTCACTGCAATCTGCTGCTCCTGTTTAAAGAGCAGCGAGGCCAGCGGGGAGGGCCGGGCGAGGTATGTGCAACAGACAGTGGAGCCTGCAGGTCAATGAGCCGTATTGTCTCCCTTTACAAATCAGTGTCAGACAACGGCCCCTGGCCTTCTGCTGCCCCCCCGACGGGGTAGGTAGACACACTTCTCACACACTCCTGGGACTCCTCTGGTGGTCACAATGGGGTCGCACTCACCAGAGGAGAATACAGATTGCATGTGACAGTCATTACAGGTGGCTCTTCACACATTAAGGCTTCAATGGCAGCTCGCGTTTCAAATGAGAGTTCAATGGACGACTTGATTTCAGCATCAATTATTCATTGTATTCAGTGGAGCCGGTGGCCCTTTTCACTAACTATGACAGCAGAGTCAGGTTCATACACGCAGAGTCAAAAGTTACCTGACCAAAATAAATACATTTAATTAGAAGTGGTATTTGAAGGATTATCATGAATTTAATAAAGTTACTTTGCTTTTACTCGAGCTTCTTGATTTAATTAGACATCCAGATTCAGATCCTCCATTTCCAGGAGAAGTCCTGCCTTAAAAGTACACAAGTATTATCATATCCACAAGTTCAATATCTTACAATATGTTAACATTTAGCGGTTACTGCTGACTTGAAGTGTTTTCTACATTATGTTTTAGTTGAATCAATACCAGCTCGTCATATTTTAGTAAAGCGTGCAGTATTTCTCTCTGAAGTGTACAAAGTGTCAGGAAACAATAAAAGTACCACTGCAGACGTAAATACATTCAAGTAACGGATGTGGAGATGTTAAATATAAAAAGGTGTACTTTGGAAAACAACATTAACAAAAACTATTTTTCACATTTTACGAACAGAAAATCCACCCTAAAAGTATAAGATTGAATGATAATAAATACTAATAAAGGGTTTAAATGAGTTAATTTGAGCAGCATGTAAACCAGATGGGCTCACTTTCTGATGCATTCCTGGAATTCCTGAATTCCTGCTGTTGAATAAAACCCACTCGGAATCAATCTGTCTGAAACAAAAAGACTCAGAGACCAACAAGCCCCACCTGACGACATTTAGACATCACGTCTTCATGGCGTCTGGTTTGACGTTGATATGTGCAGAGTTTGACTTTACTGAATTCAGTCTTTATTGTCCTGCATGAGAAATTTAGCCTGCAGCTCCAACGATTAATAAAACAAAAAAGACTGAGGAGGAGTATCGAAATAACAATAAATAAATAACAATAATGAACAATAAATACAAATAAAAACTCTGAAACCAGCAAATAAGAAAAACAAACGGGGGATAAATAAATAGTTTATGTGCAAATTAAGAGATTGAGTGTTTGAATTTATCTTTGGACTCTGGAGAGGAAGCAGCTCAGACTTTCTATTAAAGAGTATCAGTGCAAACTAGGTTTACCTTCTGCAACAACATGTTTTCTTGTCGGACGTCCGCTCACCGATAATCTCGCTGCCTACTGAGGACGTTGGGATGAACTCTCCTCTGCAGATAAAAACATGAGGTAACAAACATCATTCAGGCTCGTCTACATACATGTTTATGTTCAATTTAAGCAAAATAAGAGACGACTAGGGACAAAAGAAACCCCACCACACAGAAACACACCTCCAGATATCTAAAGGGTCACACTCGTGGGTTTTAGATCTTGAGCCACATCATCTACTTCTTAGACACGGAGCATAATGACAACATGAAGAGACCCTAATCCTCTAACACCTAGTCGATTGTAGCATTAGTGAGAGGATATGGGGTTTAAAGCTGTCGACAAGGCCTCGGACTCATAAAACAGGCTTTGAGAGGGGCTGAAAGCAGATTGAGTTTGAATGAGGGGCTGAGTGAGTTCGTCTCTGGAGGTCAGGTTGGGGTTGGACGGAGGGGAGGAAAGAGAAGCAGGGTGACAGATCGGCGGCCTGTTTAAGCACCCTGCTAAATTCATACGTCGCAGCTGTATTCAAACAACGCGGCCGGAGGGGGACGGAGACAGCGATGAGCCAAAAAGAGGTCCTGAGAAAGTGGGCGTGGTTCCCCGCCCCTCGTTTTCCAGCTCATTTCCCGGGACAGTGGAGAACAGAGGTCCCATTCACCTCACGCAGACACCTGCTGGCCGGAGGGGGAGGAGGGGGGGGGCAGAGTTTAACCAGTTCACAAGTTAAGACACCACTTAAACAAATAGTTACTGTTACACTGGATAACTCATCTTCAGAGTTTGATCTGTTATTCATCATCTAAAGCCTGGGGGGAGCACGCTGCCAGTAGGGATTGTTAAATATAAACTATTTCTAATACAGTACACTGTTTGCATAACACATTTTCTGCCTGTTCTGTTTGTAACTTAATATTAGACAGATTTAGATATTTCATTTACATCGCACAGAAACCAATATTTGGCAATTTCTGTCTGTCTTAACTTAACTGATTTACATATTTACACAGAACATCTTAACATTTTGAATAGGCACTGACACCATGCGCTGTATTAGAGTTCTAATAGAGCAGCAGATACAGAAGTACTTTTAGTAAAATGTGGACGCACCAATAAACTACTTTAATGTCTAATGTTAAACTTCTTAGTAGTTAATTTGATATAAAATTCATTTTCCTGGTCTACAAATACAGATTTTCATGAAGTCAAATTGGTTGAAATTACACATTTTATTGTTTGGCTCGTGATTCATTCTATATTTATATTTTTTTGTATATAACCCACAATCAAAAACGTTTCACCACCGCTGATCTAAGCAGTACTTCTAATCTAGCTATTAGTCGATATGACATAAGAGTTTTTTAACATACAATAGTTTCAACAATTATAACTTCTTCTATGAAGACAGATTCTATGTTATTACAACTTATGTGTTATTTTCCCAGTTGTGGATGCTTCACAGGAGTTATAGTTGCTGATGAATGAACACGTAGGATATAGTGTGTGCAGTTTGCTTATAAGGAGTTTAACATTAAGTGTCGCACTATAAGTTGCTTGTATTGAACTCACACATAAATGTGTGATAAATGTAAATAAGCAGGTTCCTCAGCGACATGGTGGATCCTCTCGGCACTCTCTGTACTGACGACTTTCTGTTAAGAGCATCAATATGATGAACTTGAGTCTCTGTCCACAGACCTCAGAGTGGATCATTTCTGGGATCATTTAGACTCAAGGTAGAAGAGATAATAAAGAGGGATCAGTCACGAAAGATCAGCTGCTTGTCTTTGAGTTTATAGTCAGTTTCCTGCACATTTTCTCATTGATTTTTGCCGTTTTTAATACTTTCTTGTTGCGTTTTGTGTAATTTTTCTAATTTGTTTTTTATGCTTTTTCTTTATTGTTGTGTTATAATTGTTTGACTGTTGTGGTGTATTAGGTATCTGTATAAAGGCCCATCCAGAGTCTAGCATTGCAAACTAGCTTCGGATTCACTCAGCTGCCAGTTTATTAGGTACACCTCGCTAGAACTAAAGCCGCGTGAAACACTACACTCATGAATGTTTTAAGGTTCAGTTCTTGTTGGAACAGTTGTAAAGAGCTGTTGATTGAATGTTAGGGTCCTTATGAAGGCTGTTTTTACGAGTCTGTGCTACGAACCTGTAAATAAATAAACTAGATCCTGGATGTGAGACGATCTGCAGACCGGTAACTGAGGAAAAAAAATATAAAATGTGCCGCTTCTTTAAATTCATGATTTATTTTGGAAATAATCAGTGGATGAAAACGTTATGACATGATGTAGATAATTACAAAGGTTAAAACATTACCACGCCACACGTGTGGAAACTATAAGGCATGCAGTCAGCTTTGCATAGGGCAGCAATGGCATCACACTAACAAGGTATCCTTCATCTTCTTCACTTCTTAAAGGAACGGTGGCGAGGGGACGCAAAACACAAAATGCACTGAAAGCATCACAAGTGACAGGCAGAGATGAGTATTAAATAAGGTGTCAATAGGTAAAGGAGGAGGAGGAGGAGGAGGAGAAGAAAGACACGGGACACGTAAACAAGAGACAGGCTGAGACGGAAAAGAAGGACGACACACACGAAGAAAACAAGCTCGATAGTGTTTCTATAACATCTTGAATTGTCACGTTCATAAAAGAAAAAAAGCCTCAACAACGCCCCCTGTCTCCGACAAATAGTAACAACATTCTTCATTCCATCTCATTGGATCATATACATTCTATTTATACATCTTATTTTTTATTATAAAGATCATCCATTTATTTCATTCCCTTAGCTGACCTGCAGATTTAAGGATAGGTGGGAACACGTGCTGAACTAGCAGAAGCGGCTCCTTCCTGGGACTCGCAGAGGAGGCGTTGCGTGTCGCTGGCCTGGGAGTCCGGGCTGTCCTCCTCGGAGCTGGACGGGACGTAGAGACCCAGGACCTGCTGCACCTTCAGGGGAAGCTCCTGAGGGAGGACAGAGAGGAGACGGGGGGGGTCAGGAACCGCTGACCCCACAGCTTCTAGAACGCTTAGGTTTAGCCTTTTATAATACAGGTACAGGCCTCATCTTTGCGAAATCCTCCACTGACTCCACGCTGAACCTCATTGGCTCTTACCTTGCACTGAGTCAGCTGCAGGTAGATGGCCTCCGCTCCTCGCAGGACGCTCTGCAGGTCCAACTTCATCGTCAGCTCGTTAATGTGCTGGAGAGCATTCACAATGAGATGAGCAGAGTGTTAACTTATAGACAAAGTGACTCCTCTCCTGTGTCACGCACACAAACAAACACTCACTTTCAGAATAGTGTTGAAGTCGTGGTCTGAGCCGATCAGCTCGCCTCTCTGGGACTCCAGGATTGAACAGGCGATCAGCAGGTGGAAGTTGTCGCACGGCAGACCAGACCAGGCCACCTGAGGGAGAAGGAGGTTATTTTCTGCACAGACGTGAGCTGACGTGGAATCGTGACGAGGAAATATTTGGATCTTTTTTTATTCTGTGTGGGTTTCTCCTCGCCTCCTTCTCAAAGCTCCCATGTAATGATTTTTGCTTTACTTGAGTGATTGTGAACATAAAAACACTAGATTATGATCAAGGTATTTTCGACATCAAGAACATTTCCCAAACTTTGTACCAACTCTGTTAACACGAAGCGATGTCAATCGTCACACCCTGATGTGAAGCATGGAGAAGGTTTAAAGGAGTGAAGCATCACATAAATATTCATGTAGATAAATAGATGCAGCTCTGGTGTTCTCACCTCCCACATTATAAGGATGTCCTCGAAGGAAAACTCTCTCTTGAACCAGATGAGCAGCCAGCGGAAGCAGAAGCACAGAGAGCCGCTGTCCTGAGAGTCTGATGGAGAAGAAAGAGGTTTTCATTTTCAAAGTAACCCCCGTCTACAACCAGACCCGAAAACGTTGTTCCAGCTCCTTCTATAGAGAATAACAGCAAACTTAATGAAAAAGTGTCTCCGCCTCGACAAATTGTCACACCTTCTGTAATCAAATTTTTAAGATATATCGAGAGTTGTTTTACATTTTCGGTGTCCTGGAACTCAATTTCGCAGCACACATTTGCATAATCATCATGCATATCAACACGGTGTGCACCTGTTCTGCAGCCGGTCTTGTTTCTGCCTGACTTTTTTGTTTTGTCATCCTAATAACTTGACTTTATTTGACTCTAATCCAGTCGGACTGGGTGAGTATTGGCTGACTGACCCAGGAAGTCACACAGCTCCGGGTCCAGAGCCTTCAGCAGGATGCTGAGCTGAAGGAGCTGCAGCTTCATGGCCTCCTGAGACTCCTCAAAGTTCTGGTGCTGCGGAGGAAACAAGGAAAGACTTGTTAAGTCAATGCATACATTCAATTACTGTTTTTTTTATGAGGCATCAAGTCTGAAACCTGAACAAAGAACTTGGTGGAAGACATCCAAACTACAATGAAACTGCTCCAAACTTCATTTAAATCTGTTTTCATTTAAAATCAGAAATGCTGATGAAGCATTAAGTCACCACACGGGAATCACAGCCACAACAAACTTTCTGTTTTAGTTTGTGTCGCTGCTGAGCTGTAGTCGGCTGTTTACTCTACAATGGAAGTAAAACTAAACTGGTTTCTGAAGGGAAAGGAGACGTTTCTACTGACCACCAGCTCCATGAAGCCCGTCAGACACCAGAAGGACTCCACCTCGTTCTGGGTGACGAAGAGGAGAGGAGACAGGAGATCGCTCATCCCCTGGACATAACCTGGACGGATGGACGCACAAGTGTCAGGGTGACATGGATGCGTCTGCCTGAATGATCATCTTAAGCATCGCTTAAATCATATAAAAGTGTCTAATTCTATTCCATCTCCCAATGTTTTATGTAGCTTTTTGTCAAATAAATGCTAATTAATAATTATGAAGATTACTCAGTGAGCACATAGTCTGACCAATAATGACTAAAAGACATGCGTTGCTCTTGTTCCAATAACTCATTTATAATAAATTGATCATTATCTCCTCCAGGAGAAACATGAGATGGCTTGTGTGTGTTGCGTGCACCTCTGTGTCTGTCCACGGCTAATCTCGCATTCTTGCAACTTTCTAGTTCCTTTTTGTTACATTTCCATCTGTATTGCTAAGTGTTTTCATACGTACCAAGATCAAAGTTGTACATGCAGTACGTCATCAGCACATCGTGCAGCAGAGTCAGTCCTGGGTTGTCGTTCCCGGAGAAGAACGTATTGTGTCTGTCTGTCCTGCTGACATCTCTCTCTGCCGCGACAGAACAAAGACAGTTCAAACAACAGAGATCTACGGCCGACTGGCTCCGTGGACAGATCTTCTGTTTCGTGACGGACAGCGGGACTGACCTATCAGGCTCCTGTATCCTCTGAGGAGGGAGTTCCTCATCTCCTGCTCTTCACTAACCGACTTCCACTGCACCTTCATTCTGAAGTACTCGTCCCTGTAGACGGAGAAAGGCGTCAAAGAGGCGGACTGCATCAAGGGAAGAGTTTGACATTTTGGGAAATACGCTCATTTGCTTTCTTGTCGATATTCTTCCCGAACACCGGAAGACTTTGAAAAGATTTTTAAGAGACTAAAGTCTGCCACCCTCTGACGTCTACAGATAATGTGTCATAAACACAGATGTTATGGTCACAGCCGAAATAAGCAAAACTTTCATGATTTTATTCCAACATTGGAAATTTGAAACACCAGCGTTAGAGGAGAAGATGGACTCTCACTCTCGCTCTATTTAATAAATATGAAGCTGCAACCAGAAGCCGGTTAGCTTAGTTTAGCGCAATGACTGCAAATAGGAGGGAAAGCTACACTGGCTCTGTCCAAAAGTAACAAAATACTCCTAACGACGCCTTAAAGTTCACTCATTAACACATTATAAATTGTTTGACGACGTGTGGTTTGTGCGAGGCTATTTCTTGACCTCATTTAACCAAATGTGGAACTATTCATTGAACCATTGAAAAGAGGTGATGCTCAGTCCTACCAACACTCACGTTTTGAACCGCAGAATGTCCTCCCTTTCCTTCACCGTGCTGTTCCACGGGTAAAAGCCCAGGAGGAACTTCCATACCTCCTTCCTCAGGGACGGAGTGACACCCTGCGATGGACCAGAACGGAACAAAAACAACACACATCAGGCGGATAGAAGGTTGACAGAGTAAACACTGCGTCTTCTACATAGGAGACATACTGTCACTGTTTTTACTGCCTCACCCCTCTGAACACAAGCTCTTTGATCTTCTCCGGGTTCTTCACTCGCCCCTCTCGGTCCAGAAATTCGTCCCATTTGTTCAAAGGTTGTCCCCTGGTCACGTCTGGTCTTGGACCGAGCTCTACGCCCTTAATGGAAAGACAGACACAACCGTTAACAACCGATTAAGATTCTCTTAACATCAAGCTGTAATCTCTGTGCGTTAGCTCTAAATTGCTCCTTTTTTTGTTTCCTTCTCTTACACAGTTGATGAGTTCGAAGCCCGGCTCTTCATCGGAGTGGGGGGGCAAACTTGGGTCCTGAGCAGTACGGAAGTGGGCGGGGGAACCCGGAGGTTTAAGTGCCGCTTTGAAGAAATTGGTGACTTTGGAGAATCCCCCAAATGTGGTGGCATATGGGTCCTGGATGAATCTCTGAACAGGATCACAGCGAGAACAGACGGAGAGGTCATTTATACTTTGAGGGAGAGTTGCAACAAGCTTGACAGAGTTTATCTACCCCCACTTTAGACAGAGTGACACAGAAGTCACAAGCTTCATCACTGAGCGTACGGGACTTTGATCAGTGAGTCATTGGTATTGATAATAAAGATTTTATGATAAAAAAATAAAAACAAATCACCGAAACAAGATCAGCGCCTCCGTCGTCGAACAGTTGCAGCTTATCGAAGGACTGAGAGAGAGCGTCCGGGTCGTGAGGGTAGGCAATGAACAGCCGCCCGTCCACCGGTGACCTGGTGATGACAACAGAAACCGTGTGATCAGCAAACACAGATGTGAACAGCTCTGTAGGTCTGGAACTGCACGTCAGCTGTCTTGAGAGGAATCAGGATGATGACACTTACTGGTCCAGCATGATGTAACGCTGCAGGGCCCTAAACAGCTCCCTGGTTCCTCCTCTGTGGAAGTGCAGAGCCGGCAGCGGGTGGCCGCCTCTACTTGTCAGCACCAGGAAGTTTCGCCCCAAAGAGAACCGAGCCCTCCGGAGAGAGTACAGCTCTGAGAGAGGCAGCGAGAACGACCACTGACCTGCGGGCGAAAATAGGCAACATTTAGTTTTGAATGCAGCCTTTTCTATAATATAACTGTTGGTCTAAAAGTGACAGACGTGTGAACGGCACCCGAGTCTTTGAGAGGGACCGGATCTCGTTCCTTCTTCACCGTGCTGATTACGGCCCAGTCGGGCTCATACCCAGGGTCGAAGTTTGTATCCTCCTCTCCTCCTTCTCCATCCTAGGAAGAAGTGGGTTAATGGCAGTTATATCAGAAATGAAATTAACTGAAATTCCTCATTTGTAGCAAGCAGATGATTACTGACCTTTTTGGTGTAGAGCACAGCGGGGGCGCTGCGGCCTTCATCCTCCAGTGGGCTCCACTCTAAAGCTGGCAATCCGGCCTAAAAACAAACGCACGTTTAACAATCGCAGCGCTTCTTTTGATTTCCCCGCTTCGTGTCCCGACCACTCAGCTTACCCGCTCCACAATGCGGATGAACCCGGGGATGGTTGTGTCCTGGTTACTCCTCTTGGCATTTGTGTGGAGGTAAACTCCCTCCTTCTCAAATATCAGCTGAGAAAAAACAGAATCAGTGTCGAGGATATAAATCATAAAATGTGAGCTGAAAATGAAGAGCAGCTTGTGTTCAGGTTGTGCCAGATTGCAGATCATGTTTGGTAAACGTTGATCATCTATTAATCTGCTGATTATGACGCTTCAAATTGCTTGTTTTATCGACCAAATGTATGAAGAGTATTATCATACATGACAAAAAAATAGAAAAGAAAAGCAAGTAGTCTTCACCATTATGACCCAGTATCGACTGGCTTTTCAGGCAGGTCTAACTGGTTATAGACACACAGCAGAGTCAGACATCTTTTATCCAGCCTGATGACAACATGTCGCTGTCAGGTGTGCTGACTTCAGAGCCGACAGCTAGCATGTAGTATCAACAATAAGCTAATAACGACAACACGCTCGAGGAGTTTCATCCTGAAATGTCGTAGGCGAAGAGGAAGAAAAGTCGTCAACAACTCAAACGTTTTAAAATACAGACAGTGACGTATTGTGAAACTTCAAAAAAATACCTTGTAATCCTCAACGTTTTGCTCCATTTTTCCCGTCAACCGCTGCCTCCACTTCGTTTTTTCCAAAATAAACGTTACGTCAGACTTCCTGTTTAAGGAGAGCCCCGCCCCCCCCCGAGAAAAGACGTCACGGTGGGAACGCCGACCAATCGTGGAAGCGAGCGAAACGAAGCGGAGCCGTTTAAAGAGGAAGTTGCGTCAACGGAAGTTGAGAATGCCTGATCGTCACGTGATTGACGTAGTTACGGGAAGCATTTGGGCAATTTGAATGCGTAGATATTGGTATAAATCGGTACAGAACTGTGATTTTTGCTATTTAGTAGTCATTTAAAAATGTATTTACAATATTGATATTGAGCAATGACATATGTTTTATATATTGTACATATTATGATGCTGTAATTGTTGTATGAGATGGTTTGAGATCATACATATGTATTGAGTTACATTCATTTTGTGTTTTTTAAAAGTGAAATTTGCTCATATTTGAGGATTGGTAAGTGTAACAGCTGGACTTACCTGCCTTGTTGTTTTAGTAAAGTTCCCTTGTTTAAAGAAACAGAGTGAGATTTAGTGGCATCTAGTGGTGAGGTTCCAGATTGCAAGCAACAACATATCCCTCCGGTCACCCCTGTGTGTCAGAGAACTACGGTGGCCCGCTTATAGGTATTATTATACTACTACAAGGGGCTACTCTTATCACTGCGTGGTTCTTTTTCATAACTTAATAAATGGTTTAAAAAGGACATATAGAATTTTTAAAAAATATATAAATTGAGAACAGGATAAGAAGGGAATTATAATTTAGACATAACAAAATATTGTTTTGACACCAGGAAGTTCACACATAAAGTCATTATTATCTCACTGGAAACATATTTAAAATGTCGAGGATGATAGTATAAAGTCAAGCAGCTAATCATTAGACAAAAAAACAAAGTTATTTACATTATTTCTGCCTTTAGATTTTGATAGAAGGGGCTTTCTCACAGATATGTACACATTTACTTTTTCTATGAATTATTTACATAAACCCATCTCAAATATTTAATTTGGTCAGCTCCTGAGAAGCAGAACCACTCCAACTGTCCACTAGATGTCATTATCCATTAGCCCTGGATCTACTGAGTAGAGTTATGTCAGAGTGTAACATAACGAGATGATTAGAGGGAACGGGTTCAAGGTACACCATCATTCTTATCAAAAACTAGTCTGAATGTTCTGGTATGGGTGGAGACAGTGGAAGTAATTACAAAGCATTGCCAAATGTATCAGACTTCCTCTGTGTAATGATGAACTGGTACAAGCAGAGGGTGTTGATCATCAATCATTCACCAACAAGTCTATCTGTTCGTCTGATCCATAACAATTTAAGCCGACCACAGCTAATCCTTAACAAACCAGTTTGATAATCGTACGCAGGACACACATTTATGAATTCTGAGATATCTGAGGCACAGCAATTCCAGAAACATGACGTGTGTCAACTTTACCCCCCCCATCCCCACACTAACTTGATTGTTAATAGTAAACTTTCAAGGACTCTGTCAATGTTTCACACGTGTCCGTTCATTGTTGGCACTTCTGTCCACAGTCAGGCCGCAAATATCCCCTCAGGCGATTATTGAAAAATCTGAAGTCTTCTCTCTGCTCCATGTTTGTTCTCCTTTGGCGGCTAACGCCCAGATTTTTGGAAACTTGAACCCGCTTACCTCACGTAAATGCTGACTAAGAACATTCTCAAGTTTTCAGCTACACTGCAGGCAATATATGAATTCCCACTGATAACCCCCATCAAAACACACAGTGGACAATGTACAAATTTAAAAAAGAAGTGCAAATGAGAGCTGCGTGGCTCTCTTGAGGGTCTGTGCAGATAATGAACAGGATAAAGTCATGAACAAATAGACCGGGAACACGTTCGTATAATCTGTATCTTATCAGAAGCACAGAACAACAAACTAAAGCAAATAGACGCCTGCCCTAATTCTGATGGAAGTCATGCTGTTTCATTTTGTGTCCCTACATTTACGTCGGCTTTGCGAGGAATTCAATATTACAGTTTAATCTCCTGGTTAGTCTGGAATGGTGACGATGGAGGTAAAAGGTCAGAGTGCTCCTTTATCTTATTTCAACATCATAATATTACATTACATCTGGGTTCGCCCCTCGCATGAATTACACATCTGACTCTCTTATGATGGATTTGTTTCCCATCTCATCATGTTTTCATCAAAAGCCACCTACAAAGGTGAGGTGGAGGGAGACAGACAGAGAGAGAGAGAGAGAGAGAAAGGGAGAGGGAGGGAAGGGAAGGGAGAGTTGAAAAGAGAGAGTAGAGAGGCTCCTCCTCATTCGCTGCATGTGTTTCTTGTGTTTTTGCAGCCCGTTCGTCACTCACACTCGCTCAGCACAGATTCAGAGGTGGAGAGCAAAGGGGGGGAGGGAAGGGAAACAGATTTTTCTTCCTCTCTCGCCAAGAAAGAGACACAAACAAGAAAAAAAGAAGGTAAAAATATAGTGTTTATCTTGAAGGGAGGGGTTGCTCTCATCAGCGTTGCCTTCTGCACGTGCTCAGCTTTGCACAACTGTGTTTCCAGATGGAGAGGATGCAGGGAGAGGGCGACCCCCTGGAGAGACCAATCCCACTGACCGACAAGGAGAGGCTGATGGTCCAGGACTCCTGGGCAAAAGTCTACCAGAACTGTGATGATGTTGGGGTGGCCATACTAGTCAGGTATTGCTTTTTCTTAGTTTTAATCTCCTGTATGAAGCTTGAAATCATTAACGCACAGTTAGGAAGATATTTCAATCATTCTGACAGTGTAATTAGAAGTGAGATGCTTGATCAGCGGTTGCATGTGACACAAAGGTGAGGTATTCTCTATTATCCCAATCAGTCAGCACACGAATAATTCACATGTTATTCAATGGACGGCAATGATAGACAGGGTCTTGTTTGTGTCTTTCAAGGTAAGTGACGCAAAACAACAGATGTTAAAAAGCGAGAATAAAACATCCTCATAAATGTGGTGTCAATGTGAACGTTTCTTAGTTTATGATAAAAGTAAGGCGCAGCAGGGGGAGGAGAGTGTCTTTGGTTTGGGGACCTCAGAGTTGCGTCTCTGCTCTAGATGATGTGGTTCTGTTGGCTCCATCATCAACACCTTCAGCACGCACTGGAGTCGGTTTGAAGTGTGAAGCGGTTGGGATGAGAGTCAGAACCTCCAAGTGTGAGGCCGTGATGGTTCTCTGCGGTGGATCGCATGCCTCCGGGGTTCGGGAGCAAGTCACTGCCTCACCAAGCGAGGGAGCTCACGTATCTCTGGGTCTTGTGGAGCGGTTTCGGTGCGGCCTCAGCAGTGATGCGAGGGAGCGTTGTACCGAACCGTTCGTGGTGAAGAGGCAGCTGGGCTAGAAGGCAAAGCTCTTGATTTACTGGTCCATCTATGCTCCAACCCTCACCTATAGTCATGAGCTTTTGGTAGTAACAGAAAGAATGAAGTCGTGGATACAAGCGGCCAAAATGATTCCTCCCTGTAAAGGTTTTCTGGGCATGTCTGACTGGTAAGAGGCCCCCCGGGGTAGACCCAGAAAACGCTGGAGGGATTGTAGATCTAGTCTGAACTGGGAACGCCCCGGGGTTCCCCAGGAAGAGCTGTAGCTGTGGAGAGCAACATCTGGAATATCTTCCTAAACCTGCTGCCCCTGCGACCCGAATAGAAACATGAATGGTACATGCACTGATGATGGGTCAATACAAAACTGTATGCATAGTATCCAATTCCTATTTTGGGACTTTTCATAATTTCTCCTCATTTCCCGCAACTTTAATCAGTTCACCACTGATAAAGTCAAATTCCCCCCCCCCCCCCCCTCTGTAAGATAACTGCACCTGCTGGAGTAAAAGCTCCACTGATGCTTTTCTGCCACACAAAAAAAACTGCAAAGATACATCAACTTGAACCCAGACTGGGATTATCCCACCGAATGCAGCTGCTAAATTCAAATGATCTCGTTGACATTAGAAGTTTGCTAATCTGTCCAAAGGAGCTCATACTTTTGCAACGTAATACTCTCACCTCACCTCACCTTTTTCTTAATGTCGTTCATCAAATCGTAGAGGCCAACTTTAAACATGGGAATCCATTAATCAGACAGCTTTGGCAAGGGCTCCCTTTCATGCTTCAGATGATTTATAGAAGGCTCGGCAGGAACATGTCTCTGTCATCACTGGTAGCCGGGCTGCTGCCAGACTCTTTTCTCTGCTCCTCATGGATGAGAGATGTCATCACTACAGGAGGGGCATTCAAACACTTCACTGGAACTGCAAAAAAACAAAACCTCTGAATGGGAAAAGCGCTGACGTGAAGGCTTAGATGGTCTTTCGCATGTGACGAGGTTCCCTGCGTGACACATCACGCCTTCCTAATCTTTTGATTGCAGGAGATGAAAGTTGAGAAGGAGGTCAGAAAAAAAGCAGGTCGCAAACAGACTCATCAGTAAGATACTGTTGTTTTTTTACAGATTTCTGACTATTAGGGATTAAGCTGCAGCACTTTAACAAAACAAATCCTGCTCTTCTTCCTTTTATGATAAACATGTGGAAACAAAAATTAATTTAGCTCAATTTCCCCTGTTTTTTTTCTGCCGCATTCCTTCACAAGTGCCCCACCACCCTCAGGAATTTGAGGAATGGGGATTGATCGATAAGCATGACCGTAGTAAATTCTCCCTTCAGCAGTAAAAACAAATCACTGTCACTCTCCTGAACCTTTTGAGTCCTCCAAACGAAAAGTCTTCAGGGTAGGAGATCCAAAGTATCAAATTAGGACGCTGTCTCTGGATTCAGCTCTTCAGTTAGTCTTTAAGAAAACAGCCAAGGAAGAATTAAGGGTCCAATGATGATATAAAATACTAATGAGGCTATTTAAATGCAGCCACAGTAATGCAATTACAAGAGAGAGCGATTAAACACCGCAGCTCCTCGTTAGATTGCGGTGAAACTGGAATCACAAGGCCCTCCTCCCAGAGCTGAGACGCTCTCAGACACTCAAGATCACACGCGAAACTTATATCCAGCTATATTCTTCAGAGCTATCAGAGGAATGTTTGGTTCTTTGTGTGTTAGCTGTTGCAGAGACAGTGGGAGGTGTGTCGCCAGGTCAGCAACCAGATGCTTTGGCCCTCTTCCCAGACTGAGGGAGGGGGTGTTTTTAGGTTCGTCTTTTCTAATTCTCTGTGATACTTCTTGGGGTCAAACGGGGATATAAACCGAAGAAAGTTTCATTGAACTGACTGTTCTTGGAAAGAAAGCAGGATGTGCAAAGAAATATTAGTGCTGGAACTTGAACCAAAAATAACATTCATGCTAAATGAAATGAAGAAACTATGGTTTTCTGGTGCGAGATATGCTTGGAGTGAGGGCGTCATAACCACAAATAAATACCGGTAAGAAATGATTGATTCTTCAAACCTTAATTTACAATGACATTTACAATAGTAGGCTACACTGGGGTAACACCCAGTCCTGTAACACAAAAATAATTTACAAAAAGTGCAACGGATGTTATTTTTCTATATCTGCTTTATTTGCTTATGAATTGGAGCAACTTTTACCAACATACAAACTCTGACAGTACATCGGGAAAAGACAAACAGATATAAAACAACTGAAAAGAACTGGATCAACCTTCATGATAAACATTTTATCTGATGCTGCAAAATGTATTTATGTAATGTGAAATGAGAGTAACTAAAGGAAACTAATGTGGCTTTATTGCCTTATACATATTATTATATAATCACCTGCAGTGTTCTGTCATGTTTTCTCTACAGATGGATGTTTCTTCCTTTGTACCATGCAGTACTTTGACAGTAGTTTAAAGCAAACATCTAAAAGGAAAATATGCAGCTCCCTCATGTCAGTGCTGGTATTTACTCAGGGTATCTTGCCAGCTGGAAAACCAAAGATGAACGTGGGTTTGCAGGATCGAGCTGGTGCTGGCTGTAGGGCGATGAGATTTGCCGAGCTTCGCAGCAGCTGCTCACACTCACATCTCTCGTTTGCTCTCCTTCCTTTGCAGGCTGTTCGTGAACTTCCCCTCGTCCAAGCAGTTCTTCAGCCAGTTCAAGAACATCGAGGAGCCGGAGGAGCTGGAGAGGAGCAGCCAGCTGAGGAAGCACGCTGGCAGAGTCATGAGCGCCCTCAACACGCTGGTGGAGAGCCTCGACAACTCAGACAAGGTGGCCTCGGTGCTCAAGCTGGTGGGCAAGGCGCACGCCGTGCGGCACAAGGTGGAGCCTGTGTACTTTAAGGTAAATAAAAAAAGGATTTACACACACATTAATCAAATTTAATGTTTGGTACAAAATATTTAGGCATGGCAGAAAGTAGAGCTGCAATATAAACTGAAAGAACTAAAACATGAACTGCAGGAGCAGATGTACATTATGGGATGTATCTAGGCGGCAAACTCTTCTTCTGACAATGAAGCCAATGCAGAAGTGTCTTAAAACTTGCATTCTTTCTACTGACCTGCAGGGGGCCAATTGTATAGAAGTCTATGAGAAGATGACTCTACTTCTCTCTTGATTTATTACCTCAGTAAACATTGTAAACATGAGTTTATGGTCTCAATCTCTAGTTTCAAGTCTTCTTCAATACAGCAAGATGTTCATTTAGTAACTTATGCTCCATTTAGAGTCAAATAGACCATAAAGCAGGGGATGCTTTAGGGCGGGTCAACCTTATGATTGACAGGTTGCTGACAATACCAGAGCCGTATACGGCGTCTTTACGTCACTCCTCCGCATTCCAAATATGGTCACTTATGTTCATTGGTTGCAAAAAAAAACAAGATGGCGATGGGCAAATTGTCGAACTCGGGGCTTCAAAACATCAGTCCACAAACCAATGGGTGACGTCACGATGACTACGTCCACTTCTTAAATACAGTCTGTGAATGTATCCCACAAAGGTCATAAAGGACCCTTTAACCCCAGGGTCTGGGTTTGCCACTTGCTGCCAAACGACGATCGTTTCTTAAACCTAAATAAGTAGTTTTGTTGCCTAAACCTAACTGAGCTTTCTGTGAAGACGGAAGTTAAATTTTGAAAAGATTGTAAGCATGTAACAAAGCGGCAATTGACCCGTGCGAAAAATGAGGAGTAACTTTTTGTAAAATATCATACGAACTGTTGTCTGAGGCTACAAACTACTCCTCTAATGGAAACTCAAAGAGTCACAACTAAGTACATGTTTGTTGTGTCATGTCCAGATCCTGAGTGGCGTGATACTGGAGGTCCTGGGAGAAGAGTTTCCAGCGGTGGTGACGCCGGAGGTGGCCGTGGCGTGGACCAAACTCTTTGCCACAATCTACTGCAGCATCACAGCCGTCTATGAGGAAGTGGGCTGGACGAAGCTGTCAACCTCAACCGGGTGAAGATTTTAGTCTGGGTTTATTGAACCATGAGAGACTTTTAATGTTTGGCCAATGGCCTCATAAGAGAGGGATTAATCAACTGTACTGAATGACGGGAAGCAATGTATGTGGGGACCAATACGAGGAATACTGTTTAATGTAGTCTTAGATATTCGTGGGCCATGGGACATGTACTCTAAATATAAACATGCACTGGATGGTATGGATGGCTAACTGTGTGTGTGTGTGTGTGTGTGTGTGTGTGTGTGTGTGTGTGTGAGAGAGAGAGCGAGGGAGAGCGAAAGGAAAGAAACTGCAAACCTAACAGTGGACAAGAGGTCACATTTGACTTGGATGTGCCTTTTACCGAATGTGTAAATCTTAAAAAAAAATCAGCAACAAAACACTGCTGCGTTTATACGGTTCTTTCTAAATATCATGTGATGTTTCCCTTTATCAGCCTGGGCCCACTTGTGTTCGCTTTATGGGATAGTCAGAGGACATTTTTACATTTTCTAACAGTTAATTGTGATGGTTGTAATTTTTTTTCATTATGACTCACCTTTCTATCTGTATTCAACACAACTTTGAAATAAAAATACAAAGAAAAAACCCACTGCCTCAACGTTGGATCCTTTGAATATCTGATTCATTATTGCATTAAGTGTGACATAATTAGACCTTTCTCTCTCTTGCTCGCCCAACTGCTCCCTTGTTCTCTGCTTGAGTCAGCAGTGCTAAGTATAAGCTGCTGGAAGTCCCTATTCACACCTTCATTTATCCCACGATACGCTCTCTCTTTTCATTACATATTCTAGGAACACTGCATTCTGCCCACGGTGAATTAGTCTCATCCAGATATATGTGTTGAAGTGCCGCTTAGAGACAATTTTAACAGGCCCTCTCACAAAATGTTGCCATTTCTTAACAGAAACAAACATTATCCCGCTGCGTTGACGACATGGTGACGAAGTGGGAACAGAAACAGAAACACACAGCATGCTCTCTTTACCTCCTAGATCCTTGATCCAAGCTAATCCTCTGAGCTAATCTCCCCAGTCACGAGTGAGAGCCAACAGACTGAAATAGTCAGACTGTTACATGACAAAATTCTGCCTTTCCACCATTCAAGCCTTTCAATGGGAGGAGAAGTCTCGGTGCTGTGAACCATCCTCGGCCCCGAGGTGGGGGGGGATCCTTGGCAGGACCATGTGCACCACTATGGTGGTCCTCACCACCATCGCTCTCATCCTGCGGCAGCGATTCTCCAGCAAGATCAAACCGTGAGTACCGATCGTGAACTCTTCAGATGTTCAGCAGGTCGTTAGAATCTGTCTGATTCTGAAAGAAGAAACTATTATATTCGTCAAGATCTGGATTCACACTGCGCTGTTAAGTGCCTGACAAAAAAACAAAAAAAACAGCTTGAGGCTTGTGAGTAAAATAATTAAATACTACTAAAATAAATACACATAAAATACTTCCACCCATACTACAAGTGTGAACACACGGGTGCATGTGTGGGGCAGTGAGGGAAATCACTCCAGTGATAATTTTAGGGTTTGCCTTGAGCAACAGTGTGCAGACATGGCTCGATACATAACAACAGTGTATTCCAGGTTTTCTTTCTAATGGAGAGAAGAATGGAGGAAAAAGCATCAGAGCTCTGCAGCTCATGGCTGCTAATTGACTCAAAGTGCAACCTTCTCTCCCCCCCCCCCCCCGGCCCTGCTCAGCCATTCACACAGCAATGGCAAACAATACCGAGAGGCTACAGCACCATGGATCATGGCAACAGCTCCCTCACACAATTATGAGCTAATAAACAAGCTAAACCTCCATTATTTTAATGAGTTTCTTTACCAACGTGTTTCCACATAAGTGTGTGTTCAAGAAGGCACCGTGATGATTTATACGAGGCATTTCATTTTTGAGTATTATGTTCTGTATCACAGGCAGAGAGACGCCGGTGAGAAAGACGTGCCATACATGAAGAGCAACGGAGCAGCAGAAACCCCAAAAAGACAACAGTGAGCGTCACAGAGTAAGGACACCAAAACCATCAAGTCAATGAAAACTGACTGAGGATGTGCAGTGTATGTCCACAGGGGCTAAAAAGGGTTCTCCTGTGATTATAGTCTTGTACTTCCAACCGTAAACTGTATATCAGAAGTGGACGTAGCCGTCATGACATCACCCATTTGTTTGTGGACTGACTTTTTGAAGCCTGGAGTCCGGCGTTTTCGCCGTCGCCATCTTGGATTACGGCTGTCGCCATGTTGGCTTTTTTGCAACCAGTGAACGGAAGCGACCATATTTGGATTGTGGAGGAGTGATGTAGAGACGCCGTATACGAATCTGTTAGCAACCTGTCAATCACAAGTTAGTCCCGCCCTAAATCATACCCTGTTGAACAGAAATAGCTTGTTGAATTGAATGAAGTTGTAAATTCAAAATAAATCAACTGCCAAAACAAAGTGCATGACAAAGAGACAGGAAAACAGACGGACAAAGAGACACTGACAGTCATGTGGAACTAGTTTGCGTGTGTGCGTGTGTGCGTGTGTGTGTGTGTGTGTGTGTGTGTGTGTGTGTGGTTTACAGAGGGGGCTCCAGACAAGGGGAGAAAGTGGAGCAGTGGAGCATGTTACAGAGGCACAGATGCATAAAGAGCGAAGACGCCTGCCCCACATTTAGCTTTTAAGCATTCACTGCTAATACTAAATGATTCAGAGGCAGAACAACAATCCATCATCTCTTCAGAGGGTTATTATTATTATTATTATAAGTACATTACCTCCTTACAACCACAACGCTTAATGAAACTGAAAAGATCTAAATACAAAGACATTAACTTTAACAACAGTCACCATTGCATGGAGGTTTCTTGCAGATCACGATGTGTTATCTTACTGTTTTTACTCTGAATAATTGTACGGTGGCACACGTTCAGCTGAGTCAGAGTGGTAGACTTCTTTATGAATGATTATTTCCTGAAATAATCATGACTTTGCATGTCGGCTTTTACTTCTCTTGTGTTTCCCCTCTCACCTACAGACCAGAGTCGGCTATCATCAAGTCAGGTGAGCATCAGGTGATCGCTGTCATTTTAATATATTTTAAGAATAAACAAGAAAACAAATGGACAAAAAAGCATTTGTTTGGTCTTCTTTTCGCAGGGACCTCTGCTATCAACACTTATTCCCTCCTGAGGTTTCCTGTAACCTTTTTTGTAGCTTTCTCTCATTGACCACATTTTGATTGAATGCACCTGAGAGCTGTCGCCGAGGCTTCCACCAGGCTTCACGGTCGATGAGGCCTGTTTTGATCATGGCTCCCCCTGTCTGTCCTGCAGGCGCTCTCATCACTGGAACAGGAAATGCCAACTGAGTGACAAATGCTGTATAATCATCATAAAAACTGAATTTACAATGTTGTACAATACTAATATTGATCAGGGTAAAAAATGATAAATTGTGTGCCTCTGCATAAAAACAAGCAATAGTTATTTCCTGTTTTGATTCAAACAATTTAATGATTAGTGTTAAATGTATGTATGAGGACAGGATGAGCTTTGACTGGATGCATTTAAAGAGTAGCTGCTCTTAAGATCTCATAAGTGACCTATAATTTCTTTAGAAAACGGGGCTGAAGTCATGTGGTGTGTTGTAAATGGCAGATATGTCCAGTCTGCGAGTCTCATAAAGGTTCATGTTGTAGAAGCCCACTGATTAAAAAAAAGAACAATGAAATACCTTTGTGTTCTTCTGAATGGTGTCTCTCAACAACTGTGTTTAATTGTCTGATGATTTATTAAAAAGGTGCTTGTTTTTCTTATAATAACATCAGGGAAGCATTTATTTTCCTCATCACCACAGGCTTCCGTAGTTGGAACTGGTATTGTTTTCTTGATAATTCATATTTGGTTACAGTCACAACCATTCATTCTGCCTGCACATTTGCCTCACAATCAATTATCATCTCTAAAAATTTGTGATTTTCAGCCTTGACCAAGTAAAAGCAGGAATTTCCTGTTTTGAAATCTTCAGTGTACTCAACAGTGCAAAAATTCCTAAATATTGATACGGAGCATAAAGCAACAAACTCCTCCATCATCACCGTTATCTACAAAACATATTCCTGCATGCATGGCCAGACATTTCGAACAGAGGGTGTGTGCTGGTTTGCGATGCTCATGTTATAAATCTCTGTGTTTTGACAGAATGATCAAAACAAAATCACGTGACGTTGGCATGCATGTCTAATCCCAACCATCCCAACTCTGGAGAAATACAGTGTTATGAGCCGAACTTTGAGCAACATGCTCACTGGTTATCGTTGTGCTGATTAAGGCAACATCAGGCCTAGACCTTACTGAATTAAACATTGGCTTCAGAATATAAATTATTCAGCTCTTCAGTTTTGTTGAAACTGATTTATTTTGACTGGTTTTCTACACTCTGACGCCACCTGGTGGTCAAAGCGTTTGATTGGCTTCACCAAGTAAACAAGCAGGTGAAGAAGTCAGAGGAAGTCCACAACAAGCACCTTCATCATGTCAACACAGCCCAAAACAAACACCTTATTCTAAAACGTGTTTCCTTAAAGTGTGCGCTGAAAAAAACTACCTTGGAAAGCTATAAAAAAATAAATAAAAAAATACAATACCCACAATGCACTGCGAACTGTAAACAGGAAGCGTCTGGGAGCTACAGCTGTAGTAGCGGGGGTGCGTTTCGTTTCAATGTTAACTGGAAGTAACGTTAACGGGGCCGTTTTAAAGATGCTCACTGGCTACACACGGTTGTATTAAAGCACGCAAACGATGCGACGCGTTTTCATATTAAAATACCACGAGCGTGTTGTTTTGGGTTGTTAATATGAACGCGCCATAGTGGTTACCAATGGAGACCGGAGACGCCTAATCAGATTTAGCTAGGTTAGCTACATTAGCTAGCTAAGTTAGCTACTCTCACACTTTACGCTAAGCTAACGTTAGCTGGAGAGATTTAAAAAAATGGTGAGTCAAGTTGGTTTTCTAGTGTCAACATTTTAATGATGTATCGGTGTTAATAGGATTCCTAAAAAATAAAATAAACTCGTGTTTTAAATCTCTTGGTGTGCATATATACGAATGTTTACAGCTGTAAAATATCTCATTATATTCACTGTTGTGTGACGTTATAGGCTGCAAAGAAGGGCAAACCATCCAAAAGTAAGTTCCCATAAGTGTTATTTGAATTCTGTAACGTTACCCCATTTATTCTTTTGCTTACTGTGTTATTATCGTATCAGAGAAACAGAAATACATTTACAAACAAGTACTCGATTGCAGAATAACAGCAAAAACAACCAACACATATCTGGTGGTGGCAGTACAATCAGAATGGATATACTCTTATAGGCCAAGCCAACTTAAAGTGTACTAATATAGTGTATCATACGGTTTTCCTAGGTTCACTGAGAGAAGAAGCTTTGCTTGACAGCTTATTTGATGATACAAGTAAGTGAGCATTTCACCGGACAGAATCATCATTATTATTGTTTTATCACTGTGAGTGTTTAATGCGTTATATTTCCTTTTTAATGATTCACTCACCAGAACTCCCAGGAAGGGGAAAAGCAACTCGCAGTGGACCTTTAACTCGGTAAGTTGGAGGAATCAAAGAGTTACACACTAATTATGAATCATAACTGTTTTTGAGTTGTTGTTTTCTTCTCCAGCACTTCTGCCACTGATAACATCTTCAGTATGCTCTCAGATGAGGTGAAGAGGGACGGGGACACTGAGGTATGCTGTGAAAAGATACATGTATATGTTCACAGTCTTATACTTTTATCATTATTTTATTATATCTTTGTTACTATTTTCTGTTTTTGTCCAGGACTCTGATGTCTCGGCAGCAGACCCCAGTGACATCCTGAAGAACATGAAGGTAGGTCATTATAAACTGTGTAATAAACAGAGACAGAGTTCAGCTTTGTAGCTGTCGACACATTGTTTTTTCTGGCTCCTTGTACAGGACATGGATGATATGGATGCTGACCTTTTTGCATCAAAGAAAAAGCCCAGATCAGCTCCTGCACAAACGAAGCCATCTGGTAATGAAGGGCCAAAGAAAGACTCCTCCACCTTGGAAAGGAAAGTAAAACCAGAGGGAGCAGGTAATCCAGTGCGGAGCGGTCTTGCATACATTATTCTCTCATTATTAGCTCCGCATTATTACCAGCTTTGAAGTTTGCATTAATAGCAGCAATCAGAGAGGGCTGTGTTCCCCCCCCCCCCTCTGCTCTCAGATGAACCCACCGCAGCAGGGAGGAAGCCAAACTCTGCCCCCGCGTCTACAGCGCATAACTACAAGAAGTTCACCTTCTCTGGTGAGTGAGCCTCCCTGATGCATCCTCCTCTGACGACGAGCTTCACGTTACTCAGCGGTTGTTTACTTGCAGCTTTGCTTTGTTCCTCTCAAACTGCTGCATTCGTTTAGAGAGTGGTGACGATGATGAAGGTCTTGGTCAGAAACCTTACACTACAGGTACATTAGTGTCTCTGTGTTTGGATTTAGATAGATTTGAACATATGTGTACATTGTAGTGACGTTTAGAAACATAATGATGATTCTTCATCTACTGCAGTCTGGTGCCCAAAAATAAAAGTATGCAAGAGTATAAAGAATGTAATTCCCTCTGCAGATCTGGACGACCCTCTGGCGGATCTACTTGATGACTTGCTTCCAGATGAAACGAAGCCCAAACCTAAACCCAGAGTACAGCCGGCCAAGCCGGAAAAATCTGCTCCGTCTCCTTTAGCATCTCCCATCCTAAAGACTGAAACATGTGAGCCTTCAAATGATTATTTTATTATTTTCAAACTTCAAACCAACAAATACTACAGTACAGTACAGTACGCGTATGTGTGTGTGTGTGTGTATTCTTTGTTCATCAGCAGCAAAAAAACAGAGCGGTCTCACATTTGATGAGGATAAGGATGACCTAATGGACGCGCTGGGATTTGACAGCGATAAAAACAAACCCAAGAAAAAAGAGACTGCGCTTTGGTCCAACACGGAAAGGTAACAGCTCTGTTCTCACTCTCATTGTTGTCCTTATTTATAGTGCTCTAACGATAAATAATTACTGCTGTAGTGCTCTGGGCTTTGGGGATGCTGCTATAAACAAAGACAAACATTGACAGTGTTTTACGAAGCAACATCTTTCAGAATCAGGCTTTTTTATTTTGGTTCACCTTCACTGTTTCATGCATAAAGGCCAAGTTTCCCTGCCTTCGTTTGTCTCTTAACGTGGTCTCTTTCGTCCTGTTGCGTCCTCCTTTCCTCAGGAGTGAGACCCCTCAGAGACCTCGTACCAAACTCGATGAGATTCTGGAGAGTTTGACTTCCCCTCGACTTCTGGAGCGACCTCCGACAGGCGAGAGGAAGGACCCGCCTCCGTCTCAGGAGAAGCAGCAACACGAGAGGACCTCCAGCGGGAGAGGTAGTAAAGAGCGCCGCGGTCCTCTGCTCAGCACAAGTAACGCTTTTTAAAAAGGACCAAATATTTAAACGCTAATTCTGTTCCCATTTATCAGAAGATGACCTCACATTTGGTTCGTATCAGCCCACCCTGGGATCCACGCCTGAGGGGCGCCAGTCCCGCAGACAGTCCGTCAGGTGTGTGTGTGTGAACTCCAATCTCTGTGGCTCTTTTTCTGCCATCGTAAACTGAACCCTAGATTTTTTGTCTCATCGTCAGGTTTTCTACAGAGGACGTCAGTCCCTCGACCCCGGAGAAGAAACCAAAACCTGTCACCCCCACTCGACAATGCAGCTCGGCCGACTGGCTGGGCCTCAAGACAAACGACGACCGCACCTTCCTGGTGGGGGATGCTGAAGAGGCCAAAACCTTCACAGAGTCTCCAAAGGCTCCTTCCTCTCCCTCATTAGAGAGAAGACCCTCCCTGACTGGTAGTCATGCCACGTCCACGGCAGCCATAACCGATATTATCCCCAAACAAGCCAAGCCAGAGGTCTCTAAAGGCCGAAGGAGAGAGGAAGAGGAGGAGGAGGAGGAGGAGGAGGATGACTGGTTAGCAGGAGCGCTGAGCAGGAAGAAGGCTCTGTCAACGTCGACCTCTGAGGCAAAAACATCCAAGCAGACAGACCCTTCAGGCCTGGGAGAAGAAATGGATCTGGAGTCGACTGTTAGGTACACAACAAAGAATAAAGACACATGCACTGACAGAAGAAGCTTGTTTTTCACTTGTGAACGATAAGCTGCTCTCGTTTTCAGTAAACAAGCTCCCAGAGGCCGAGAGGACACTCTTACATCTGTCAAGGAAACTAGGTAAGATTTTTGTTCTGTGAATCCATCAAACCCACCAACTGTTAGGTGAGATTCTTTAGCTATTTTTGTCATTCTCCTTTTGTTTTGTGCAGCAGCACTTTTCTCGGACAGCCCAGCCCCACCGCTCACTCCACTCCCGTCAGAGAGAAGACCAAGCGAGGTATTCATCCGAATATTTACTCTTCGATTACATTTACTGATAAAATGGTGACTTTTCAAAGCCACGTCCCTCCCCGGCAACTCTGCTCATTTACAGTAGAAGCGGACGAGATTCTGACAAAGTAAACGCAGCACACAGCGTGGAACGCACGTACAGGAGCCGCGTCCGATGCCACATTCTACGTTGTATCACGTCACGCTAAGCTCACATTCTGCTCCTCCTCTCATACAGATACCTTCGCCGCTCGCCCCTCGACTCCCACACAATCCCCTCCTTTTGTCACAGAGTGTACACCCGCCACCCAGCCTCACCTCCCCTCCACCTTAACATCCTCGTCAGCAACCACTCTCCATACTAAACTAGACCTCGGACAAACTCTAAATTTGTCTCATCCCTCAGATTGTCCTCCTCTTACTGGTCCTTTGCCGGTCTCTGCTGCTAGCGTTAGCCACACCCAACCCCAGCCACAGCCCCAACTCCACCACCCACCATCCGATAGGGGACCCAGGGTGCTAAGAGGGCCCAGTCAGGCTTCGGATGAAACCCTGCAACAGCCTCTGTTGTGGTGTAGGTGATCTTGGGATCTGAAGTAGTTCTAGATTCAGTATTCAACATTAATCTAACGTGAGCAGGTCATCAAAAGTCATTACTCATGGTGTTTTTTTCTTTCCAGCTGTTCAGCAGCCAAACCAAAATACATCAACTGCTGTCCAACAACAGGTATTTATGCTTCTCTGTATTAAGGCTGTCATGATTGGGCCAATCCTTTAATCCGTTTGTTTAATCCCGTCCGTTTCTTCTGAAAAGGTGGCGCTTTCAGCGGACGGTCTGCAGCAGCTGCTTCTACAGCAGCAGGTTGGGTCTCTACTTTTAGATTCATTCAAAATGTAAAGATGCTTTTATCACCGGGTTTGTTCTCGACTCGCCTGCTCTTCTCTTACAGATGATGCACTCTCAGTTGCTGGGTCTAGGGAGAGTCGTGGATCCAGTGGTCCTGCAGAGACTCAAAGAGAGAGAGCAGCACCCTGGAGATTATCAAGCGTTACAGGCTCGCGTCATCGAACTGGAGGGACAGGTACGTCAACACTGCTGAGGGAAACGAAGAATAACCTCCCCTGTTGCCCTGAATTCCCTTTCCTTACCTCCATGTACCTGCACAACTCCTCTGTGTTACTGTCCAGGTGAAGACTCTGCAGCTGGAGCGAGAGCAAAGCCAGATGTTGCTAGAGAGTGTCCAGCATCGGCATAAACAGGACATGGAACTGATGGAGAACGCACACAAGTAGTTTATTCTTCACACACACACACACACACACACACACACACACACACACACACACACAC